AATTCACTTTTTCAGAATAGCGAATTTTGATGTCAACAAATTGGTTTAGCCGCACTGCATTTTTAAACATGATTTTTTTATACAAAAATTGACTTTTTAAAGTTTTCCATGTACCCTCCATATTATATTAATTAAATATACGATATTAAAATAAGTTAAGTTAATTTTGGAAACCAGAAGAAGGTGCAATATAGCTAATATTAAAATGTAAAGTAGGAAATAAAACAGTATACCTATATGGAAAAAGAACCATAAGTTATAAAAAGCGTATTACAGAATGCTAAGAGAATTGGAAGTTATTCTGAGGATGAAAAGTGTCCTAAAAATATAAAAATACCTAATAGAGTTCATTTCCTCTCTTCTCTTCAAATTCAGCCTCCCTTTACCATTAATTTATTAAACTCCCGTTTCGTTCCTGGCATTCTGCAATTCTTTCCTTTCCAAAGAGCTCTGGCTTCTCAATTTAATTTAAGTTTTAAGTTTATATCAATGTCATTTAGTTTTACGCACAATCTGATTGTTTTTCTTCTTTTTGTTTTGTTTTCTTGTTTTTTATATTGTCGCTTAAAATCATATTATCACTAATAATGTAACCTTATAATACATGCCAAATATTTTTTTATTAATAAAGGCTATTAAAAAAAAAAAAAATAATAATAATAATAATAATAATAGAGGATATGCTAGAAGGAGCAAAAACATAGATTTTTCCTTAGTAATGAATGAACCTATTACTTACAAGGACATACAGGACGATGCATTTGGGTTTTTATTGCTTGCGTATGATTTAGTTTTAGTGAACGAGAACACAAAGGGGGAAAAATAGAGAAATTTAGAGATGTTTTTGAAAAATTGGTTGAGAATATGTAAGTCTAAAATAGAATAATAAGGTCAGTGGCGGACCGGCTTAAAAGGCCCTATCGTGAAACTTAGCCTAAAAGGTCTATAAAAAAAAAAAAAAGAAAACAAATTTAACTAACTACAAATTAATAAGAAATGAAAATGCCCAAAATATATATTAAAAGGTTCGGTTAAGGATTTTTTTTACAAAATCTTCACTCAAACCTAAAACTTTGATGTACAGAATGTGCGTTAGTATAGAATATTATGAAAATATTACAGTTTTTTTTTAACGGGTTTCTCCGTTTTTCTTCATTACTATCGGTTTGTAATAATGAGACATCTTATTTTGAATAACCATACACAGTTTTAAATCATAGCGGGTACAGCTCATTAAACATTTAAATTGGCCATTTTCAATAACGGCCCAGCTATGAAATAGCGAAAAATTAAATTTTACCTTTATAGATGGCGAAAAAGCAAGAAACTAGGACAAAGTTAGAGTTAATACACTACTTTAATATTTTTTAACAAACATTCTTCTACCTATAATCGTTCGGTACGATAGATTGGTGGACATAAGTATAGTTAACGTATACTAAACATTAAAAACATGTTTGTTAATATTTTGTTATTTTAAAATAACGAGATTTTGCATTTTCCAATAATAAAAACTATTGGCAAGTTGACAACTTTTAATCTAATTATAAAAACCACATGTTTACTTTGATGACATATTATGGTATTCACGGGTTATATTATATATATTTTAATATTATAAAATTGTAACTGCTCAGTTAGGCACTACTTGTACTTCTGCAGAACAAAAAATGTTTTAAATAAGTTTCTGAAAAATTCTGGATGCGTAAACAGTTGGTACGATTTTCTAACTTTTTAATTTGTTTGTTTTTAATTTTATTTTTTCAAGTAAATTTGTAGGTATTTAGGTCTGAAAATTAGACCGAAGGTAGATCTAAAATGGAACTCATGTTCCTTGGCTTTAGTGGTTCGCCCCGAAGGGATCCCCTACACTGCGGACCGACTAGTAGCACTAGGTGCTAATTGCGGGCCGGAGAAGGTGTGTCACAAGATGAAGTGACCAGTCAAAAGGCCACTTGTCAGAGGGCTCTACGTCACGTTAGTCGCCTTTTACTACATGTGTGAAGATCTTGGTAGAATTCTTTCTCCTCTAACCACAGGGATTCCAAAATGGAACTATAACATATACGATTTTAACAAAAATCTGTACTCAAACTTTTTTTTTATTAGGAAAAACCCTAGTGATTTTCGATGATTGTTTCTGACTTCATATTGTTGATATCATTTTTTTTAACCGGCGATAAAAGATAATACGATGTTATCAGATTTTTATCATGGAATAAATGATATGTTACACCGTTTTATCCATGACAGGTCTCAAAATGGCGGAATTCGTGTGTCGCCAATTTATTTTCACTATGCGCTTTCCATGTATATAGTTCAGTGGATATACCTAATATACGTTATATCATTGATTATAATTAATAATATAGATAGCCCACTGATATGTAATTTTTGCTGCGCGTAAATATTGTTAGCGCAATACAGCCAGGAACGACGTAGTGCGCTTGCGCGATGATCGTCAGAACTCACGGTACTAACCACCATAACTAAAAATATAAGTTTAAGGAGGAAGGGTCGTGTGAAAAAAAATGTTTACAATTTTTTTTTTATTGCATAGAAAATTAGTTTATCATCTGCAGAATGTTCTCTTAAATTTTCAAATTAAAATATACCTATAGTGTACCTCACGATGTAGAGAAGATCTTTACATAATATCTTCATACATAATATTTCGCACGCTGTGCAATGTAGCTCAATGAGTTTTAATCTGATGGACATGTGGTTTGGCGCATTTTGTTCCTTAACTTACTGGCTTTTGAATGAACCTAAAAGCTTATTAATTATTATTACTCAATTAATAATAAATACGGGTTTTTAGAATTTTTTCGTACGAAATAAGGTATTTTCGTTAAAAATTATCCTGAATTTTTAATTTTAATTTTTTTTTAAATATTAGGTTCATGCAAAGCGTATGAACTAGAGCCGACGATTCTACACGTGTATTTTAAACACATGTGTAGGTCAAGTTTGTGTAGTTCAAATTCACGTGTAGAAATTCGTGTAATTATAAATACACGTGTAGGACCCAAAATTCCACTAACTTGAGTCTTGACCCAATGGCTATAATACTTTATCATAGTGACAAGCATTAATTAAAGAAGAGTATCACGTAAAATTACAGGTCTTATTAAAACTTACAGTTGTAAGAATACCGAATACGTGTAGTTGCAGGTACACGAGTATTTATAATTACACGAACTTATACACGTGTATGTGAACTACGCGTGTTAGTTGTTACACGTGTAATCGGCAGATCTAGTATGAACGTATTTTTACAGACATTTTTTTTAGAATTTTTATTTTAAATAATTAGAGCAACCTGTAACGCTGCACGGCGCAAAAACGAAAAACCAGATTCAAACAGCTGCAATGCCACCATTTCGATATGAAACTTTTTTGTAAAATACTTTGAATTGACAATTTCATGACGTATATTATTTCATTTAAATAAATCTTACCATTTTTTTCAAAGAAAAAACTGCTGTTACACGACCCTCCCTATTACATTTCAAGCCAAACAACAATTGTTTGGCTCACTGGGACTCGAAATTAATTTCAAACAAGTTTAAAATATTTACTTATAACGATAATTAATAAATATTGTAGAACTAGTATCATAGAACTTACCTCACTTGTCCACAGTTCAACGAAAAATAAAAATATTTTTAGGTGTATGACAGTACAGGCATTGGACTAGTGTCAAATACCAACGTCCAACTTAAGTCCATTATATCTAAGATAACCGACCTCCAATACGGTATCTTGGTAAATTGTGTCGTTGGTATCCGTAACCATTGCTATCGTGTTTATAAAATGTGCTTATAATGATAAACAAATTAAGTAGACGAGTTCTTGAGGCCAGATTCGAATGAAAAAAATTGAATATAAGTTGGTTGTTGTTCTAAAAAATCTCAAATTTTTTTTATACAGTGTTATTTGAATAAGGCATATTATTAGACATTATAAAGAGTACACCTCTTTAGCGTTCATAGCTCCTAAGTATCAAATATCTGTAGTATTTTACTGCTTTAAGTATCTTGGGGGTTTCCGGTGCTACTTGGTATGCTATTTTGGTACATACGTTAAGTCAATAGAAATAATTAACTAATTTGATTTATATTAAGTATATTTTTAGAGAATGTAACTAAGTAAGTACAAAGATTAACCCGGTTATAAAAGTAGAAAATACCAAAATATTTGCAACTGAGTTGTGCGTCGTACATATGCATGACTAGTGGCTACTATTATATCAATAGTCGGTGGCACTTGAGGTTAAGCTGTGGCCGTTGTTGCTTGAACCCGGATTTTAGCGGCGACCCACACCATCAACCCCCGATAAGCATGGCAGAAATGCCATGCGTCCTCAGGCGACCGAACTGGCATAAGTTAGCTATAGCCCTCCCGGTCAAATACGCCATACGATTATTATTATTTTTTTTTTATCAATAGCCGGTATTCCACTTGCTGGGAGGTGATTACCCCCCCCCCCTCCCCATAAGGGTAGGTATTGGATATATGGACAACAAGTAACAACAGCACTACACCGTTCGCGGAATGTGAATTATTAATATTGTATAAAATTATATTGGCGCGACGGACAGCGAGGGCACTCGTGACGCGCAATTCCCTTTGGCCTTGACATCGAAAATATGTTCCCGCCGTGGGTTGATGTACACACGGGGGGTTGTCGGTGTTTTGAGCAGAGAGCTGGTGGAAATGGAAAACGAAATCGGACCCGTGGTCGGGCCGCCGTCCGATAGCCTATCGCCCCGGGCAGAAACGCGGACACAATAACACAAAACATATGTGTTATTTTTTTACATTTTGCTGGTAATACGCAAGCGTCGTACGCACACCGTCAGAGCTGGCGCGCACACGTTCTGCTCTCCCGCCCCTTCCCAATAAAAAGTATTACCTACCACCTCTACTTCCATGTCGTCTTATATACAAGCAACGACCTTTCAGCCGCCGCCCGCAACCCGTCGTATTTATAACGAGCCGTACGTTCGTCCGCACTCCGCAGCGTACCCGGTCGGCTCATCGATTTCTGTCGTACGACGCATTGTTGTTTTCGTTTGAGTGTAGGTCCGTGCCCGTGTCCGTGTGAGCTACTGCCGTTGTGTAAGCGCGTGCGAGATAAATATCACCGATTCTGTAGTTATTTTTTTTTTTCAATTACCTACCGTTAGTGTTTTTTTTTCGCCGTCGTCAGCATTGCAATCATCAGTATTTTAATATTGCCGTTTCCCCACGAACGCGAGTGTAGTGTTAGTGTTGTTTCGTCCGTATCGAGCGAGCCCTGTACAGCACTCGAAAGACTACTTTATTTATAACCTTAACTCATCACGCTGTTGTTACTGTTTGCGACCCATTCGTGTAATCAATTATTATGCATTTGTACTTCTGTTGCCGTCTGAAATCTGTCGACGTCAATCTTATCGCACGAGTTTTCCAACTGAAAGGCTGAAATTTTGATTGCTTTTCACACTGCTCAACTATCTATTACTGGGTTAGGCATACAAATCGTAGTTTGTAAAGTCACATAGTCGCGTAACGCCGGAGTCGTTCTTGTGGGTTTTTTTCTCAGCTTACAATAGAAACTCCAAGAGTTTCTTGATTATTTTTTCCCACGGTGGTCAAAGTGGACGCGACAAATTTCCGTTGCATCATCACACTGGCCAACAAGGTGGACTACGTAGTGAGAAGAAGACCAATTGGTGGTATGCGTCCAGACCTGCAGAGTCTGATCTATCACACATCTTCAGATCACTTCTCAGAACTTGACATCTCCACTGTGCTCTAGTCTGCCACGCCACTAGTAGTATAGTATAGCATTTGGCGTGCGTCAAATTTCGGTTTGGGCTTAAATAAATAAGACAATGGCACCAACTAACTTGATGCGACCAACCAAAAAGGATTGGCAACGTCAATCGCAGTCGGAATCTGAGGACGATGACTTGATTGGCAAGAAGGACTTGATGCCGCTTGTAATATCTCAAGGTGATTATTTTTCTCAAAAGAAATACTTAAGCCTTGGTATGATGCCTAATTTTTAATGTAAACTTTTAAATTTTAAGGTATACTGATTAAAATTCTTAACTACTTGTTTCTTGTTAAATGCAGTGCCTATAGTTTACAATAATAATAACGCTTATAATTTATAGTTAATACCAGGGGTGGATAGGCATGATCTGACCAGCCCGGAAAAAATAGAATCTAAAGGCCCGCAAGATCCAACAAAACCTCTTTTTTTTTTTTTTTGTGTGAAGTAAAAATTTAAATTATGATTTTACTATATCACTATATAGTGGTATTATTATATTATTTTATTATACCACTATACCAGTAGCGCACTTTGAAATCGAATTATCAAATTTGTTTTCGAAAAAATATTCCAACAGATCACTTAATTGACAATTATTTATAATTGTAGATTTTAGTATTATTGTATTTATTAACTATTATATTTGTATGTATGTACATTGTACAATATCGTCAATAACAATAGTTTTCATCGGCCCATCTTCGTCAATATAAGTAGCGGCTCACCGGGAAAATCCCAGTGTCCCGGTGGGCCTATCCGCCCCTGGTTCATACTTGATGATTGTGGCCGTGGGCAGTGTCGTATTAGAGGGAGGCAATCTTGCCCAGTCAAAACATTTTTAGAGGTGGCAATATTTGAATGCAAAAAAAAAGGGTGTAGTTTACTTATAGTAGTTTTAAAAAAACTTAGTAACTATTGTAAAATATGTATAATAACACATAAACATTTTTAGGCATTAAACTTTTCCAAATGTTGAAATAGCTTTACATCTAACTATTTCAGTAACACGATACAACAATAGCGGGGAGATTTAACATAGGATTTCGATACTTGTGCAAAAATCAATGCATAACTTTTTTCCTATTCCTTAGTTTGAGCTGAAGTTTTAATGGTTTTATAGCTTGAAGTCTTCTGGACACAATCACCATACCCAAAAGTTTATACCTGTCAAAATTGCTGCCAGAAAAGGAAAATTTAACAAAATATAGGCGTTTTTTGGTACCTTTTTTTGATAACATTGTACTTAATGTACCTGAGGGATGTCGCTTGGCCCACAAACATAATATTTGAGTTCAAGTATCATAATGTTTGGTAACATAGTACAAAAATTAATAGACTAAACTAGGTCAATAACGCGATGTTCAAAATAAAGTTAACAGTGTTGTAATAAGTTTAAATCACAATCCTAGAAAAACGAATATAATTGACAGTACTGTTATCATCACATAACGTCATCTGCCGCCCCCACCATATTCTCTGGGGATTACCCGGTGATCGGGACATTTTCTAGATTTTTAAGTCTAAATTATATTCTTTAATATAAAACGCAAAATAATCCCATCTATTTGTGTTTTCTCTTAGCTAAAATTTACCCAAAAACCACAATTTATTGTTAAATTTTCCTTTTCTGACAGCAATTTTGACAGATATGAACTTTTCGGTATAGTGATCGTGTTCAGAAGACTTCAAGCTATAAAACCGTCAAAACTTCAGCTCAAACTAAGGAATAGAGAAAAAGTTATGCATTGATTGATTAGTACACAAGTGTTGAAATCCTATGTTAAATTCCATTTAAACTTCAACCCTTTTGGGGCACGGGTTAAAATTAAAATTTTTTTTTGGATCCTATTTTCATTGTATTTAGAAACTTTTTAGGGGACGTTGAGGTTAAAATTCGAAAATCGACTTTTTAAGGACCACCCTAGTGTACATCACAAAAAGCTAAAAAAAAAGTAAATTTGTAATACTTGTATTATCAATTTGTATTTAAATTTATTATATAAATTTAAAAAAACGTAAGGGTAGTAAAGGGCGGAATTTTGAAATTTGCCCCAGTTGCCATATTCATTAACACAGCACTGCCTGTGGGCTACCTACTTGTGTTTAATATAATATGGTTGTGTATTAATGAAGAACTATTTAGTATCGGTACTGTTCATAATATATAACCTACTTAAATATGAAATCTATTATACTTTTTCAGTTTACACTAAATGTAGCTATGACAATGTAGTTGTATGTTATAATAATTCCTATTATTATAACTATATTTTCATTGATATGAATGTTTCTTTTAATTTGTTTATTATTAATTCTTATAAAAGTCTAAATGTAGCTTTTTAATAAAAAAATACACCTTAAAATATTTAATTTAAAAAAAACGAATAGATTGTTTACAAGACTAATTTATGTGATGATGGTCAGTTAAATAATCTCTTTAACTAGCCAAATAAATCTATTTTGAAATAATTTCGTGATGTTTTGAACAAATGCCAATATTTATTAAGAATACCTAGTTTGATGTTGTTACGTGTTGTACTTATTATTATATTATTAAATGTTGGTGTTTGCATATTAATATGTGGTTTTACTTATCTATTTCTAATACTACTCCAAAAAAATGTTGAGTTAATAAAAATTATTATGTATTTGTTTGCAGTTGGCCAAAATTTTGTGCCCTTGGTTGTAACAATGGTTGGTTTACCTGCTCGAGGCAAGACTGTTCTTGCATATAAGATTCAACAATATCTTAATTGGACTAATCATAAAGCTAAAGGTATGTTAGAAAATAAAATCTATAGAATTATAATTATTTCATTCATATCATTATTATTAGTTTAATTTTTATTCAAGTAACTTAAATCTACATAATATAAATAAATATACGTAATATAAATATAATATATTATTAATATTATTACTTAATCTACCATGCTTTATTAATAGAGTACAATTGTTACTTTAACAACAAAATTAAGAATTTAAAATAGGCAAAACATAAAATAATCATTTATAAATAATATTAATAAACTTCTGTTGCTTATTTTTTTTTTATATAGTATTTTGTGTGAGCTCCTACAGACGTAAACATATTGAGTCATACAGTAGTCATGATTTGTTCCGCAAAGAAAATAGTGAAGCAGCTGAGATTCGTCAGTTAAGTGCCCAAGAAGCACAAGACGATGCTACCAAATGGTTGCAGGAAGGTGGAGATGTTGCTGTAAGTTGCCCAAGTAAAATCAAGTTAAATATGATTAATAGTCTATTAACAATTCATTTAGATTTTGGATGGTACTCATATAACACAAGCACGTCGCCAAACAGTATACGATCATTTTTCCAAAGTTATGGGTTTCAAAGTGCTATTCATCGAGTGTGTATGTGACGACGAAATGCTTATTGAGCACAATGTGAAAGAAGTATTGCAATTCAGCAAGGATTATCGTTATATGTCTGCCGAAAAAGCCCTTGATGACTTCCATCATAAGATTGAACATTATATGGAACAGCACGAACCTATGAAACCTAAAACAGATGGCTACAGTTACATTAAATACTTGAATGCAGGTATGATAACAATAAAACTTTTTTAAAATACACTATTTTATTTATTATCGATGTAGTAAAAAATAATTATTAATCATGATATTTATTTTTATAGGTGAAATGCTAACAACATACCGCTTAAATTCTCCATTGCAAAGTGAAGTACTAGTGTTTGTTTCAAATTTCAAACCATGGTCAAAAACGTTCTACTTCTCTAGAGTAAGTTGGTATTGTTACTATGATTAGTATAGTAACAACTAGACTTATTGGACTTTTTATGATTAGCACGGTGAAAGTGAAAATAACGTATTGGGTCGTATTGGTGGTGACGCTGATTTGTCAGTTCGTGGTCGTACATATGCAGCAGCACTGGCGCGATACTTTAACAATGAAGAGCGTTTGAGTAGCTTGCGTGTGTGGACCAGTGAATTAAAGCGTACACAACAGACTGCCCAAGGCATCAAAGCTCCGATAGAAGCCGTGCCGGCCCTTAACGAGTTGTATGCTGTAAGTTTTTATTTTTGTAAATTATTCTTGGTGTATTTACCATGTATGAGAATAAATAATAATCTAATATTTGATCATCCGTTTTAGGGTGTTTGTGAGGGATTAAGCTATGAAGAAATGCAAGAAAAATTTCCACAAGAGTTTGCTTGGCGTGATCAAGATAAGTTACAATATCGTTACCCGTGGGGAGAATCCTATGTAGATATAATGGCTCGATTGAAACCAGTTTTATTAGAACTTGAAGGTGACACAGATAACTTGCTGATTATTAGTCACCAAGCTGTTTTGAGGTGTTTACTTGGCTATTTTCTGAATAAGAAACATGGTATGTTAAAACTTTTAAAGTATTTATAATAAATATACACATATAACAGATACCTATATTTTATTCTATAATTGGAATTTACAGAAGAATTGCCCTACATTAACGTGCCATTACATACTATTATCAAGTTGACTTTGTCTGGCTATAAAAGCAAGATGGAGGTGATTAAGTTGAATATAGAATGTGTGGATACATATAGAAAGCAGCCTAAGGTGAGTTAAGCTCTTACATTTGTTCTGTTATGATTTTTGAGTTAAAAAAACCTTTTATGATATATTGTAGAATTGCTCTGTGAATCGTTCTGCGGATGATGCTTTATTGACGGTACCGGCACATTTCGAAAACTTGTCAATATGGAACCGGCCACCAATAGTTCAACTCTAAACTTGACCCAAACAAAATACACTTAACTTACTGTTTGAGTATAATATATATGATGTGTAGGATAATATGTATGTGTCTCATATATATATGAATAATATATCCCAGTAATTAAGGTTTTTAAAGTTTATTAATTATGACATTTTATTTGGTTTGATTTTTGAGCAGTACTGTTTAGTTGGAGTATCTGATGGAGTATCCAAGCTATACTAACATACTGAATAAATATTTGAAATAAATATTAAGATTTTGAATTTTGACCTAATAGTCTAACATTATTAAACTGTATTGTTAGGGGATGTTTTAAAATTAGCGGCTATTTTACTAACTTTTTAAAAATAATTCAATTTAGAAAAGTAAATTTCTTGTTTATTACATTAAGTGGAATAGTTGGATTAGATAGATATTTTTGACTTGCAAATGATTTAAAATGTTCATGCTAGTAATCTAGCATTTATTATAGTATTTCAATAAGAAATTCGTTTTTTTTTTTAAATCTTGTGTTTGATCTCTCTTAATATATATTTTTACATATTACGTGATCGCACAAACACATTGTTTTTAATTTTTCCTCTTACAAGTTCTTTTGTAATGAGAAAATACAAAAAGAAAAAAAAATATGTATTGCGAAGTACAGTTCCCCACAGACAGTTTTTCAGTGCAACTGAGATTGACTATATTCTTCCATTTTTAACATAAGTTATTAATTATTAGACTATAAACATATTTTTGTACTGTAGTTTTTGTTTGATTTGTTATTATTATTATTTTTTACATTAATTATTATTATTCAATTATTATAAAAATAAAAATTATATAAAATTCGTAAATAAGTTTACATTAGTGGAGCATATTTATTTATTGTAATACGTATATCTCCTTTAAATTTATTTAGCTTGCTAGTGAAGAAAATAATATAATATATTTAAAAAATGTATTAAAACTATACGGTTTATAAGAATTAGTAAACTATAAAAATTGTATGAAATGCAATTATGTCATTTTTTTTTAGTACACTCTGTAGATTATATATTATACACATATTACAAAAAAAAAGCAATAGTTTTAACATAGTACGAGTTTTTTTGACATTACTATTCCTAAGTAAGTCAAAATAAATTTTTTTAATGTTATAAATTGGTTGACTGCATTTTTCATTTTCAATAATGATAATTTACAAATGACACAAAGTATGAAGTTTCTACCGATTTTAAATAAGTGGAATGTTTAAAAAATGTGAGTAGGATCTTACCTCCATTGAATTAGTTGATGTGCTTTGAAGTCGTTAAGTAATTGGATAGCTGAAATCAGTAAATATGTACTTCAAAAGTGTTATTGCCTGTTGGGACGTCGAAATGTTGAATAATAGGGATAAAAAGTAAATGGAAGTCATTGGTTTGATGAAAACACAACCTTTAGGATGATTAAGCCCTATTTGTGTTGTGTCGTGTGTAACGTGCTAATGTCGCATTTTAAGGGTAGAGTTAAATGAAGGAATTTCTAACATAGAAAAATACACACTATATTAATGATTATAATTAAAATGATATGAAGTTTTGAGGGCTTTTTTATAAACGTATTGTTAGCAATGTTAGCGTTGGTAACACTGGTCCAGCAGTGACCAGGGCCAGTATACAACATAAATATCAGTAAAATATACATTATACTATAATATTATTTATTTTGATTTGATCAGTGATCAAACATTTTTAGTTAAAACGTTACAATATTATTGGTACACGTTAATCGTAAATATCTGCCTATTGCTTCTTATTTTAAGTAAATAAAGACTAATAATAGACCATGCATGTCAATTAACCAAAAACATAAGTATAGTATTTTTAATTTCATTTACCATTAAATTATGTTACTATAGTGTCTGAATTTGGAAGTTATATAGTTTGGAACAAATGTATATAACCGAATACCCTTTTTTTTACCATCTTGTAGTATTTTTTACTCGACTACGAATCTGAAGTCAAGATGGTAAAAAAAAAATCCTATAAAAGAGTGTTCGGAAAGTGCATTAATTATGTCAAAATAATTTTCTATTTTAATTTTTATTATTTGATTAAATAAAATGTTATATTATATTAATTATGATTTAACTGAGTCGTTACTTTTTGTTTTGTTTTCATCTAATTTTGTTTCATTCTTTTACGAACATATATATACATAGATAATATAGTATCATAAGTTAAATAATCTATTGTAGTGTTACATAATACATATAAGAGTTAAGTGTCTCCATTTACAAGACGTACACTAAGAATATTATTCTTTAATTTATCTTAAGAATCTACCGAAATAAATGGTTTAATTGTTGTGATCTTTTATTTTATATAAATATAAATTATATTAAAGTTACTGTATATTGTTTTAACTATAGAAATATTACAATTGTAGTATTTTTTTACACAATGTGTATTGTCTTCATAAGTAGTATTCAACATAAGGATGGAGGTTATCGACTTATCATAGCTTCTAATCGAGATGAGTTTTATGATAGACCAACATTATCAGCTAATTATTGGGAAGAAGCATGCGATATAATTGGAGGTAATCTCTTTGGTTATTAATTGAATGAAGTTTTATGAAAATGATCCGCTTGTTATTGATTATTACACATTATTATGTATGCAGGGCGAGACTTAAATTCATCAAGTAAGGGCGGTACCTGGCTAGCGCTCGATGTTAAAGGCAAGTTCTCTACACTTTTAAATATATTTCAACTGTCAAATCAGCCAAATGTACAATCTAGAGGTCAGTTAGTTGAAAATTTTCTAAAGTGTAGTTCTGATGCTTCAGAATACAGCCAGTTGTTACAAGGAGTATATAATGGTTTTAAACTAATCATGATGCGCATTAGGTTAGAAACTTATTTAATTTTAAAATCGGCTACAATAATTTCATGTATCTTTAAAATGAATGTATTTGTGTGAGTAGCCATTCGTTGATAGAAACATCTTTATTGACTAACATAAGCTTTCCCAATAATCCTGAAATAGAACATATACCAAATGGCGTTAAAGGTTTTGGGAATGGCAATTATCAAAAAGTAGCCCAAGGAGAAAAACGATTTAATGATATTGTTAGAAAATATGGACATAACAGTTGTAAGGACAAACTTATTCAAGAGTTGCTAGGACTACTAAAGTGGGACAAACAGTAAGATAAAAAATGTACTACTTATTAGCTTTTACATAACAAGTACTTTTAATTTAATATTTCCAGTCATTTACCAGATGAAGAGTTAGCAAAAACAGCACCTCGACATTTGGATACAGATGTCCATAAACAATATAGTTCAATATTTGTAGAGATACCTTTTTTAAAGTATGGAACTAGGTAATTGTATATGTTCTACCTATGTTTAATAGAGTACAATAAATTAATGTGAAGTTTTCAATTTTAGAACACATACAATTATATTATTGGACCACGATGGACAAATAGAATATAACGAATGGACAAAAGTCAAAGAAGAATGGCAGCATCAATGTTTTATGACAAAACTGAAATGTGAAACATGAACAAAACCATGTTTTCATATAATACACTGCGATAATTCAATTACAGTCTTAACCTTGAAATTTTATTCAAGTTGCTTTGCTACCTTATACTTAAAATTATAGGTGTTATAATTAGAACTTATTAAAAAAGTCAGTACAGTAGGATAGGGGTTTATTAAACTGAAAGTGTTAAAATCACTCTCAATTAAACGCTTTGATGTGTATCTGTATAAATATATTTATGTATTAAACATCATTAATATGTTTAAAATTGCTTTTTTAGTATTGGGACAGATGCAATTGGGGTTGCTTGTCTGTCTATAATAACTTGTCGCCGTAGTTACCCATATATCAACAACATAATGAAAATATTTTTCAGATACCTGTTAATTGCGATTCACAAACTTCACTCTAACATAGCAACCTAGAACTTTACTATGGTCAAAGTGTAGTAAAGTATTTCCCCCTCTTTTTTGGTTTTTCCTTAATGAAAAAAATGTTAACACTAGTTTTTTGAGAAATTTCAATGTGTATATGTTACACTATATTATTACTCTATGGTTATACTCCACTCTATATTTTTCAGTCTAATTTCAACTACACTCCACAAAGCGAAATAAAATGTTTTCAGCCCTTTCAGAGAGAAATGGTTTTTGAATTTTTTTAGTCATCAACATATTATAATGATTGAACTACACTAAAGAATATTTTATAAAGTAAATTTGAATATTTTTAAAAAGTTAAAGCTCGCCATAGTATTAATTCAAAAAGTAAGTACATGTTTTGGTGTAATTCTCTATTATGAAAAAAAAAAAAACACTGCATTGTGAAAACAATACTTTCTCAGCTCCACATTGAAGCTAAACATGGTTCATAATTGATGACCTAAATAAAATAGAAAAATATTTTTAACCGGTAATTATTTGATCAAAAATAACATATAAATAAATTATAACTTAATATAAAAAATAATGTACAGTATATTATAAAGAAAGTTATGTAAATTATAGCTTAAACTAAACAACTTTAATAATTTACAGTAAAATAACAAAATGTATTTTATAAAAATTGGTTAATTAGCACCAATACCATTTTTATCAGCTTGTTCTAAAAGAACTTGCAAATTTGTATCGAATAGTTCACATCTAATAGGCATTTCTAACGAATAAAATGGGTTTTTTAATGCATAATCTGTATAAAGCTCATAAATTTTCTTCAGTAGCTGTTCAAGCCCAGCATGTGATGGATCTGCTATTACCATAAATTTAATACCTAGAATATTATACGATATTTGAAAATCATAATACATAACAAAACTTGTAAGTGTAACAAATCGCTACTTTTATGATATGTGTCTTAAAAGCATGCCACACCACTCATATTTTTGCCCCCAACACCTGCTGTGGGGGGGGGGGGATAAGATTTTTTTGGATTGCCCTCGTTGTGGAATTACAAAATGTTTACAGTTCATAGAGGAGATATTTACCTGTGTCGTAGCGTTTTAATTTTTTTTTATAACAACACAATCCTAGTTATTTATTCTTAAAGATTATTTTTTTCATTTGTTAATTAAAAGTTAATGAGTATAAATATAAAACAGAGAAAAAGTTCTCTTCTATGTACTACAAAAATTTGGTAATTTAACAGTGAATATTGACCGCATTAGTTTGTCACTTGCAAAGCAGTTATGTGGGAACATTTTTTTTTTATTTATCCTATAGAAATAACTGAAATAGTCTGACAAAAAAAAAACCAATCGATTAAGAATAATAAATACTATATTAATAAGTATACACTATATTCAAACTTCAAATTAAGATTTTGTGAAACATTGCCCAAACTTTACTCCTTAGAAATGGGTGGAGTGGTGTCTCTTAATAATAAAAATTAATATATGGGTTAAAACGCCAAATACGAATGGACGTTTGGAGCACCCCCTCCCCGTGGACATTTTTGAAACTTATACTGGATGTCTGTTACGATAAAAATAATGTTCTCAAATATTTTTGGAAATTTTTTTCTATTATTTTGGCGATAGTTGTATAAAATATTTTTAGTTTTTTCTTTACTCTTCTTTTTTATTAATTTTTTTATAGTATCTTCAGCCATCAAAAATAAGTTTTGTATGTAAAATAACCTCAACATTCTGAAAAAAATATTGATTTTTTTTTTAGTAATAGAAGGTCATATAAATGAGTTTATAATCTAAAAAAGTTGGTTTTTTCGTATATCCCAAAATTTGAGAACTATTCTAATATTTTTTTCAAAAATCGGATTATTTTACACAAAAACTGATTTTTAATCATTTTTTTGGATGGCCGAAGATACTATGAAAAAGAAGACTAAAAATTGTATAAACGACCATAGCCAAAATAATCGAAAAAAAAAAAATTCATAACATTTGAGAGCATATTTTTTATTTTATAAGACATGCATGGTAAGTTTCAAAAAGTTGGTTCGTAATTGACGTTTTGACCTATACACATATTTGAGTTAATAATGTACTATAATATCAGAATCAGGGCTTGAAAACGTTTTCAAGCCAAAAAGTACACTTTTTGTTGTAACTACAACCTAATATTATGTTAAAAATTATTCACAATTATTAATAGTTAACAAAACATTTATATAATTACTAGACAACTTAACTGTAAAATATTTTTTATTAACTTTTTTTTTACAATTTCAAAATCAGTTAAGCAATCCGGCTATTATACTATCAATAATTTTAACTAACATTTCTTGTAGTTATAACAAATAGTGGAAATTTTGACTTGAAAATGTTTTTAATCCCGGATCAGAATAAAAGTTATCAGTACCTGTTAATGTTTGATAACATTGTAACTTAAATGTATCAGCTTCTAAGGTTTCAATTCCTGAACTTCTTAGTTCAGGACTTAGTTGAGATGCAATGGCAAACAACGGGTAGAACATACTTGCTAAAAATATTTTTTCATTAACTGTCATTTTTGGTCTGCCAAATTTTAAATTAAGAGGGTAATTGGTGGCGTCGTCGAGCATATCTAATGCGTCTTTGCCATCTTCCAGTTTTCTACCTGCCACAGGTATACCATTGATAGCCAATAGAACATGACCGACTATAAAACATCAAATTACAATATTTAAATAGTTCAAAACAACATTTAATTTTTTAAATATCAACATTTTAAATATTGTACTTAAAATAAAATAAAATATCAGTTTAAGCAATAATTTAGTCATGTTTTAAGAGTTAAAATAATAGTATTGAAAAATTACTTTGAGTATCTTTATAATTTTTATTTCTTTTACCCGGGTAATTAATAAATATGTAGAAACCTTACCTTTAATATTATCACGCTGGCCAAATGAAACCAACAAACGATTGTTCTCGAGCATTAGCTTTAGGTCTAACGGATAACTGAAAGTTTGTTCCGTTTCGATTTTTGGCACATTGTAATCATAATTGAATATCAGACCTCCGGACTTCGAAACAATATACACCCCGTAAATACCCATACTAGTATAGGTCCCTTAAATAAGTTGAAGATATCTATTTCAAACTTTTAGAAAAACTTACATAATGAAAATTTTGAAGAAAAAAAAATGATTTAAATTAAAAAATCACAAAATAAGCATTAAAAATTATATAATAAATATAACTAATATTATTCAATGTACCTATTCTTTTTAAATTTTTGTTAGCTGGTGATAAGGCATTATCAGTAAGTTTTTCTTATGATAATACAAACAGTGGGCTGGGGCCTGGGAGTTTTAAGGCTACTTTAACGAACACACTTTTCCTTGGTGTCAGATCACAATGTTGACTGTTGTTATAAGTAATTTGTGTATGTGCGTGTGCGTGCGCGCTTTCACACCAGTTGTTGGCTGTTATAACTTGTAAGTAAAAGTAAACTATAGTCGTCGTGATAACGGGGATCGAGAAGGACTGGGGGAGATGACGTGAAAAAACGAAAACAGTACCTTACTAATAAAAAAAAAAAAAAACAACAACATTCAGTCACAGTGTATAATATGTCTACCTACGCACAACAATCAACAATATTATTGGCGTTTGATCGGTTCAAGTGTGTATTTCCCGTGTAAAAATAAACGGTGGCTTAAGCAGAAGACACGCGGCTAAACCTTTGTTTAGTACTCTACTTTTAAACGTGGTCCAAGGTTCCTTCGAGGCGATATGTCGACATCGATCGTTAGCACTCGCGGTTAATGTGCGATTTATTTTAATTTTCATGTCACCCATGTAAACAATTGGCGTACCAAAAATCAAACAAGTGAGAACATACGTCCTGTTGTCATAAATCATTTTGTATTTTAATTTTAATAATTTCGTATTTGTTTGCGCCCCAAGAAATGCCCATCCAAGCGCCACAATGGACGGATTTCCTGTCTTGCCCGGTGTGCTGCAATAGTTTTGATGTTAAAGTGAGGCACCCTATTAGCTTAGGATGTGCCCACACCGTTTGCAAGTCGTGTCTTTCCAATTTGCCAAAAAAACAATGCCCGTTTGATCAAGTAAGTAACAAAGGATCGCTGTATTGTCGTATGACATTGTTTTTGATTCGAACAACATGATTTAATCGGGTATGCTTAAATGTAAAGGAAATTTTACTTCCTAAAAGGTATTTGTTGGTAAAATAATATGTAGTCAAAACTGCCATACTCTTGTGATGTATGTTACATTAGTTGCCACCGTTTTCATAAATATGAGTAAAATTGCTGAACGCTTCCTTTGAAGTTGGTTGATAATTTTTGAATGATTTATTCAATAAGATATTATGTAAGAAACGTAAGTTCGAGTGCATTGATGGTTGAAACTGACGATTAAATTGGTTAGCTTACATTGTTGCATCTAGTCATATATATACATTTTGTTTTACCAAATTAGTGGGAAATCCCCACAATTTTTTATTAAATTTTTATTGATTACTATAAGTAAAGATTGTTCTAGTAAACTTTTAGTATACCACTTCATATATATATATATATATATATATATATATATATATATAAATATATATTTTTTTTTAAATTCTGTAGGTACCAATAAATTATTTGATAGTTTCACTTTTACTTCATCATATTGATTGTCTACTATATATTATCTACTAATAATTATAGTTGTTAAGTTGTAGGGATAACTTTATTTATCTTATAATTTTTGGTTGTATTGTATACATTACAATATGGATATATGTATACAAGTTTATATGTATCTATACCTTGTTGTGTAAATAATTACATTTGTTGAAAGTCGTTTGTACAGTCTTTAGCTGGTAGTTAGTTGTCGAACTAGCTTACTGTGTTAAAAATCCTATTATATAATATCGATAATTAAATAATTATAAAGAAAAGTATTTTTATTTTTGACGATTTAAGGTTTCCAGTCAGGCGTCATGGTCGAGAAGTTTACCGCGGCAGTGTTTCTGCGCACTAGCTGTGGTTCAAATTTCGGTTGCTGGCTGTTTCTCTAGCCAGGCGAGGCAACCGTCTAGAGAGAGAAATGGCCACCTGACTGGTGCGGAAGGCATTGGGAAACCACCGCACCATAACCAATTCCCCAGTATGGCAACTCTTGTCTCTAGTAGAGCAAGATTTGTCCAACCTAACGGGTCGTAGACTTGTTAGGTCAAGGTTTCCAGTGTATAACAAAACATTCATGCATACAAGCATCCATTCAAGAACTCTTTTTAAGAAATTTGAACAAATTAAAAGAGCTGTTACTATTTTCTATGATATTTATTAGTTATTAAACTTACTAACTACTTATTATTGGTTTATCGTTAATGTATAGTTGGTATTATCTTATGGTTAACTTATCAATGTTTAGCAAACAATAATCAACTTAATAGTATTTGTTTGTTTATCATCTTAAAATTGAATTGCTTAATTTGTATTTGAAAATATTAATTTTATATTTAAAAACAAATTTTGTTTCATTAGTTGTGTTTTTGCCCAACAGAAATTATTTATTTATTAAATAGTTATTTAAAAATTATCAAAATATTTAATATTTATTTTTTTATAGAATTTAATAAGCATAGAAGTGGAACAACTCCCAATCAATTATGCTTTACTTCAGTTAGTAGGAGCATCAATACCAACTAATGACACTATTCCAAAATCGCTATTCAAATCCATGATAGTTGAAGAAAGACAACTGTATAACAAATCAAAAAAATGTGTAGAACACCTTGCTCTTTATCTAAAATCATTTGCAACTGGTAAATTACAAACAAGATTTTTCATTTCTATAGTTTATTTATAACTTTTAAATTACTTATGTTTTGCATTCATTAGGTGGTGGGCAATCGACAAGTGCTGGGCTTTCACGTCCTATGCAGCGTAAATTAGTGACTCTGGTTAACTGTCAGTTATTAGAAAATGAAGGCCGCTTAAGAGCCATTAGAGCAGCAAGATCGTTAGGAGAACGTAGCATGACCGAGTTAATACTTCATCATCAAAGTGCTCAACAGTTGTCCACAAACTTATGGGCAGCTGTGAGAGCTCGTGGCTGTCAGTTCTTAGGACCAGCGATGCAAGAAGAAGTACTAAAACTTGTTTTGTTAGCTCTCGAAGATGGTTCTGCTTTGTCCAGAAAAGTATTGGTAATGTTTGTCGTTCAACGATTAGAACCTCATTTTCCACAAGCATCTAAGACTAGCATTGGACATGTTGTTCAATTACTCTACAGAGCTTCATGTTTTAAGGTTAGTAAAAAAAAAAAAACTTAACATTTCAAATATATTTTATGAGTTTAATGGGTTTTAGGTATCAAAACGTGAAGGCGATTCGTCACTAATGCAGTTAAAAGAAGAGTTTCGTACATATGAGAGTTTAAGACGTGAACACGATGCTCAAATTGTAGAAATAGCCACTGAAGCTGGACTTCGAATAGCTCCTGATCAATGGTCAGCACTTCTCTATGGTGATTCCTCACACAAATCACATATGCAAAGTATTATGGACAAATTACAAAGCCCACAATCTTTTTCACAATCTGTTCAAGAACTTATTATTGCTTTACAACGTACTGGTGATCCAGCAAAATTATCATCTTTGAGACCAGATTTTGAACTTTTGGCAGCTGTCGACCCTAATCCTAGTGAGTTTTTAAAATTTAGTAACTTTGTGAATGTCATTATATTGTTATATTATCTACAGGTCTTGAATGGTGTACATGGGAAAAATTGTATTCTGTTCTTGAGAGCGCTAGAGTAGTAGTCGCAGGCTTGACAGATTTTGTGAGATCACATGGAAATAGCAATAAAGGAATTAAGAGTGAATCAGTTCAAAGCCAATCAAGTACATCTAGGTACAAAGTTAGTATGTGTAGAGATTTAATGATGCGAGGAACTTGTCCCCGAGGCGCTGGCTGTACATTTGCCCATTCTGAAGACGAGTTAGAAAAGTAATATGTCATGTCATCTATGTTTAATTATTTTGTAAATATATTAACAATTTTTTATTTATTTTAAGGTATAGAAATAAAAATCGTAAACCACGAGGAGTTTCTATTGGTGTGGACCATGAACTGTTGACAAATAAACCCAAGTTTATGCCTAAAGAACAATATGATTTTTTGCGCAACAAAAAGCCATTGATGTTGCCTGAAAGTAATTATACATATAATACTCATTAGAATAGTAGTGGGCTACATACTGTGGTAACCCTTACAATTACACCACTGCATATATTACATTTTTAAGCATATATAACAGGCTTTTATGTGTGACAAATCGATTAAGCTATCAAACCCATTTTTTAATTACGTATTTTCTAATCGGCATTTGGTGGTTCTTAGCTATAACTCTTAACAAATTTGGATAATGGCTTGATGCAATTATCACAAATATTTAATTTGGATTTAAAAATAATTTTTAATATTTTGTTTGTGTTTAAATTTTAAAAGAAAAACTTAAAAGTTCTGTGTTTAGAACTAGTTAGAACTAGAGTTTATTAATTTTAGACTTCATATCAGTTCAGCATAAAATGTAAAGTATTGTTATATCATTAGTTATTGAATTATTGTTTTATATTTTCAGACACACAAGAAATTACTACTATTCCAGTTGAACATTCGTATATTGTGCCAAGCGGACAAGCATATTTTCAATCTGGGCAGCAACAAATGTACCCAGTTGGACAATATGGTCATGATATTTACGGGTTTGTTTTAATTCTATAAAAGGTTCTTTTTGAAACGATATTAAAATAAAAAACCTTGTCTTTAGCCCTGGACCACATCCACATGGTGTGTTAATAAATCCAAACAATCAAATGTATATGGATCAAAATGTGCCTGGTCATTCGAATAAAATGGTATAGCATTTAAAATCAAATTTTTAACAATCCTTGATTGCATATTTTATTGTTTTATCCTGTTTTAGAAAAATTTGTCTACGAATTTGATATCTCTTCAAAATCGCAAACAAGAATTGATGGGTCAGTTGGATAGAGTAATGACTGCTTGTGCTCTAACACCTGATCAAGTTGTAAGTTTTTGAAAACGGGAATTTGTAACCATTTCTTCAGTATTATAATATTTTTGTTTTAAGGATTTTGATCGTTATTCTATGTGGGATAATGGCCTGTTTCACCCCAAAACTGGAGTACCTTCACCTGTTAACATTCAATCTGGACGACCCGTATTAATTAGGTAAGAACATGAATTAATAAATCTAAATAGATAAGTAAAGGATTATACCAAGTAAATTGATCAAAGGTAATTGAATTGGTAGTATTACTTGTGCTATTCTCTAGTTAATATTAGAGATCATCAATAATATTTTCTTCTCATCTCCTTAACTCGTACAAATAGAGCCAGTCGGGGGTACTTTTTTAAAAAATGAAAGTCGTTGAAATTTCTCCAATATTTATTTGCTATAACGAAGGGAAAAAATTGTATTCAATAATTAATATTAAAAAACTTAGATTTATCAGTATATAATTATTTCTAATATGTCACAATATATAAAATATCAGTTTTGATAAAAATAGAGTATAAAAAAACAATGTTTTTTTATAAGAACAAATTTGTAACTACATATTTACATAATGAAGGCGAATTCTTCATAAGGATAATATAGCTTAATCCTAACTGGCCTTTTTACATTCGAAAATGTAAAAAGTTCAATTTTTTTGCTTTGGCACTTAGAACATTTGACAAATTCACTCTTCAAATATTGTCCAGATTAAAGCACTTGAGGTTTTTTTTTTAACAGAAGCCATGAATTAAGTTTGCTTATATTAGGTTTCTTGTAGTGTATTGGTTTTGTTTTAAATTTATTGCACATTTTAATAATTAGAACAAGAATCGTTGATTAAAAGTTGTAGAGAATTGTACTGTGTTTAGGTAATTTGTTCAAATTATATTATTATTTATTATTTTGTTAGTTTTTAAAATATTTGCCAGCTATAACTTGTATTTCATAGTTGTTCTAAGTATATAGCATTTAAAGATAGTACATTTTACTTTTTGTTAACTGTTGCAGATCGGATTCAATTTTAGCTGATCCAGACGAGTTTGTTCCATTTGACTTGGCTGTAAATGGTAAATATGGACCAATAGGAGGAAACGGAGGAAACCCAGTCGCTGAACCACCACCACCACCAGCTATCAGTAATCAACCTGGCGGAAATGGAAAATCCATGCGCCGTCCATGTAGTTTGTCAATACCATCGCAAGCAGCAGCAGCTGCAGCTGCACAAGCTCAATTTTTCAGTTCTACTACCACTACAACTATTACTACACCTTTGGGTACTCTGCGTGGTACAAGAAACAGTCCAGTGGCTGCGTCATGGTTTTTTAATTCACCACAGGGATTCCCTGCAGCCGCACATATAGTTGCATCCCCGGTAGGAGCGATTGGACAAAGTTACATTACTATTCATAGTCCAGCTGGCATGATGGAACCACCTAATTTTTTTGCCAATCATAAAACGTCTAAAAAGTAATTTCTTATAGTGCTCTCAAATCATTCCTTAGTTATATTATTATGTTTAAAAATAATTAATAAATTGTCGATTACAGTTTAGTTGCTGAATCTCAAAAAATGAAAAATCAATTGAAGAGTCTTGAAAAGAAAATCAATGACCTTAGAGTATGAAACATGTCTTCTATTTTATGTTATAGACTGGTAAATAATTTAATGTTGCCTTTTTTTTTTTTAGCTCGCTACTCACAATGTTGCTGCTAAAGAAACTGAAAAATTGTCTGAGGAATTAGCGCAAATTGAAAAAGACATTCAGACAAAAGAACAACAATTTTTGGTTGGTACTTTTATATAATATAAACAATTATAGACTAGTTGTTGAATTGCAACAAGAATGTACTTTTATAAAAAAAAAAAACAATGTATTTTATAATTTTGGTTGAAATTTAGACTCAGTGGCATTCTGAAACGGCCACTATAACTACATGGGGAGAAGGCATTTGGTCAAGTACCACGTCTACTGGTTTCACTACTCAACAAGTAAATACTAAAACGAAATGAAACATTAAATTATTACATTTCACCAATATTGTAATTTTATATTGCAGGACGATGCTTATAACAGTAATGTTGTTAAACAGGCAGAAGTGAAATGGGATGGTAGTGAAAATGATACAGAAAGGGCTATAGTCGAAGAAGTGTAAACAGCCCTTAGACCGGTTCAACAATTATAAGATAAATTATTTATTTGATTTTTTAGTGAATTTTTTCTACCATTATATATTATTCGACAAACATATACTTAATGCTTAATTAGTTGAAATATTGTGATATTATTGTATTTATATTATTTTAATTATTGTTTTCTTGTATGACATGAAATTTTAACGTGTTTTTTAATATTTTTTTAATTTATATTCTGAATCGAATTAAATACAATTGTGACTTAACAAATTTTTTTTTTTTTAAGTAACATAATTTGTTACAAAGTGAAAATATGTGATTTATTTATTTACTTTTTTTGTCATTTTTTATTAATTTTTGAAAGAATTATCATGTAATATTTTATATGTATAATTATACTGCAATTCTCCATGGTTACCATAATTGTTTGTTCTAAAAAAATAAACGTGCAAAACGTACAATAATGTTTATTGTCATATGAGTGATTAAAACTTAATTACTGTATTTTTCTATTGTTATGTACCTATTGAATATATACAATTTTTGTATTATATAAGTTACGTGATTATATTAATCTAATGTTGAGGGTAAAATTATATTAGTTAATTTATACTGAGAATTATAAAAAAAATTAATTAGTGGTTACGGATTATATTGTATGATTATTAACTATTGTTTTATGTGCTTAATATATATATATATAGTAATATAATATTTATACTCAAATATTTTATGTATAACACAATGGTTTTTTATATTATATATATTATATGTTAAATCATTAAATGTATTGGATTTTACTAAAAGTATTGTTTTTTTTTATGAAATAAACAATTTGCTTTTAATGTGTTAAAATGCAAATTGTGTTGCTAAAATTAATAAAATAGGTTAATGGAAATCAACAAAAAGGATACTAACTAAAACTATTTCAGTTTCAACAAGTTTTATAATAGAAATTAAATAACCATAATTCAGTAGTACAATCAGTCTTTTATTCATAACACATACTGAAATATAAATGCAAAGTTAATATACAGTAAATATTTGAAATAATTTTAAATGTGTAACAATTAATATGTATTAAATTAGTTTATAATTAATCTCTTAACTAATGAAACATGTTAATATATTTTAATGGTTATAAATAAAACAAATTTCCATGAAGGTAGGTTGCTACCGACTCGTGTGAATGTTTGGAATATGAACGAATGTCCATAAACACCGTACAAGAAAAAAAGTTTAGTTATAATTAACTTGATAGTAACAGTTTTTACTGTACAGTAAACCCAGTTCATATTGATTAACCAGACTAAAAATTCATACTGTGCACGTATGAACATTTGTGACCCTGAGAACAGAGCTTCAGACATTATTTTAAATGTAAGTTGTATCAGTGTTTAAATAGTATTAAACCTACTGATGTTTCTTAAAAACATTTTTTATGTAAAACATTATTGAGGTTATGTATTTAGAAATAGTTTTATTTATATTCTAGATTAACTGTAATTGATAAATATCAATAATAAATAGAAATCTATCCTTTTTAGTTTATTATACATAATAAAATATAATTAGCTACACCTAAGATTGTAATAAATACCGTCCATTAAATAGTTAACATAATTGAATGAAAAATGCTTTTTATTCTTTACTACCGTGATGATGAGTCTGGAGGTAGAAAATAAAACATTAAATTCTTTGAATTAGCTTAATGTGATTTTTTAGATGCAGCTTCACGCCTGATGTACTCGGCTTTGGCCATTTCTGTCGCTATCCACTGGGGTACGTTTGGAATCATACAACTCAACATACATCGAAACGCCAACATAATATGCTATGTATAACAAATGTGAATTAGACCATTCAAATATAGTTTTACAGTATTAATAGACATAAGATGAATTTGTTTTACCTCGAGCGCAACTATCAGTAAAACTTTTTGAATAGCTGTCATACCGGGGAACAGTCTGTGTACCTGACCACTTAAACCTATTAATGCACAATTGACTAGCACGGCAATAAAACCCATTACTTCCATGATATTCTAGTTAAAAAACAACATTTTTAAATTAAGCAATATTTTTTCATTCACTTTTTATGTTAAACTAAAACTTTAACTCACATGCCACATTCCAATATCTTTGATTCTTTGACCAAATGGCCTCTGGTATACATAGCATAGTTTAAATGCATCACTTCGTATTTCGATTAGATTATTTAACAGTGCACATAGAGCAGCTAAAGGAAATGCAGATGAGAACATTACCACATAGCCAAACTGAATAAATATTTCCAAATGTTCAGAAAATGTACCGTCAAACTATACATTAACAATGAAAACAATATTTTCAGCTATAATAATATTATGTATTATAACATTCAATAATTACTTTAAACATAGAGCACTCGAGTTCAGATTGAGATACAATCCGTTCACCGTTGCATTTTGCTGGTTCATCTGAAGGTGTTAAAGCACCAAACAAATCAAAACTGATTTTAGCAAATCTTATTTGCTCTAACAAATAGGGTAAAGCCGATTCTTTAATATTACGCATTAGTTGTCTTGTGATTAAAAGTACTGCCAATTGCTGTAAAATAAAAAAAACATGTTTTGTTAAAAAAAAAAAATAATAATAAATACTGATTTGTTTACTGTTCTAAGTCTTTCTTGATCTTGTAGATAGAAAGCTATGTAAAATAACGATAGAAACGAGTTGACAAATTGGAACTAAAACAAAAACAATAATATTATTACATATAAAAAATGTATTGTTATTGGTTACACTTAATTACAAACCAAAGTCACTTTAATAATCAGTTGGTTTTCATACTCAGTATCCAGTCTATAATTTTCTAAATGCAGCGTGAAAGAAAAGGATTACACTTTCAATTAAAATGTTTTAGAACAACAATCACTTAATTTAGTTAAAAAAATATAAAATATAAAATGACGTACAAGTTAAAACTCTTTTTGGTAGTAATTTTCTGTTATAAAGTTTTATTCAGGGCTTTGAAACCAGATGGAACCTAATCTATAAAACCCGAATAAATCCATATAAACTCCAAAAACTGATATCGCTAACCCAAACACAATTTTTTTTATGAAAATTTAACCAATATTAACTACATTAATTATTTCGATTTACCAAAGCTAAAACACCTAAAATCTAAAAAAAAAAAAAAACAAAACCTTAACCAACATGACCAACATGATTGCATATAACCTGAATAAAACTACCCAAAATAAATAAACCAGGTTCAAAGACCAGATTTTATTAAAGTTAATTTAATTAAAGCACTTACCACAGTTATTTAACCAGATAGCAATGTGGCTATAAACGTCATCAAGCAAAGCAATTACGAGTGCCAACATGATTTTCGGTATATAACTCAAACATGTTGGGTAGTTCCATGCTTCAATATACGAATCCCACCAATCCTACAAATATGTATATGTATATTCAATTAAAAATAAGAAACGTATACTACGAGTGGATTAAAATATTACTTGAAATTTGATTTGAAATATTGTTAAGGCAAACACTATCGCCAAACAAAGGAAAATGATGGGTGCGCTGACAAAATAGCTGAATAATCGGCGTTTCCAATTTGGGTACCACAGTTCTAATTTACCAGTAATTGGACTAATTCGCGGTTCTCCCTATAAAAAGTTAATATTTGATCCTATTATATAAATGAACAGTATATATTTAAAGTGGGAGAGTTTAATGTTGTACTTTAAATTCTAATCGAGGTTGCAGTAAGAATTGATGTCTTTGATCTAATGTAGCCCAACGGTAAGCTAATTCTGCACAATAACGTTTCCATGTTTCCAAGTATATTGTTACCCAAAGAACATTAACAAATGCCAATACAACAAACCACACACCTTCTGTCCATTGGTCTAATCGTCTTCCAAACCCAAACTAGAAAAATACAATATAATCATTAAAATTTGTGCATATAGAATTGTTAAAATAATAATAATTTACCCAAAAAGTAGAGTACGCAATAGCTGGGTAAATTAATGAAGCTGTATAATGACCAAGCCACGCAAAGTACATAGCTATTTTGACACCAAAGTAATCGCATACAGAGTTTAAAGGCTGTTCGCTAAAAAATGACTTCACCCAAATAATGCGCAACCATTTTAAAGTTGTTGTATCATGGACAGGAAAAAGATGCTCAACAATGCCCTTTGATATTGATTCTGTAACTGAAATAAAAATATGATAAGTACATTCATCATATATATATCATTTATAAAAAAAAAATAGGTATATGTTAAGCGGTTTTTATTATTACTTAAAGGCTGGCCTTCCACAAGTTCAGTGAGCCATTCACAATTATGAACCCTACGCGTGTTTAATATGTACAATATCAATACTTGTCTTTCTTGCATTGTAAAAAAACAATCAGTATTTTCAATTCCTTCAAAAATATTCATTTCTGAACAAATAAATTCGCGTAATCCGCCACCACCAACAATTTGTTTTGGAAGGTGTACATCTTGTGCGGCTTTCAATAAACTAAAATATAAATATAAAATATACTATATACGTTTTCATAAGCTATTCAACTACTAATATTTTACACATTAAATGGTGCTGTTATATAGAAACAATAAGTATCAGTCGATGAATGGTATTGAACATTTACTAATAAACCCAAGTCTTCAGTTGTTTCGACGAGCTGAGATTTAAACCATTCAATGGTTTTACAATCTGTAGTTTTTAAAAATGTTAGAACTACATCACAGGCCTGAAAATTAAATGTAATATGTGTATCGTTATTATGAATGTTTACATTAATAGCAATTTATAAAAATTGGTACATTGCAAATATTCGGTTACCTTTGGAGGAATGGATTGTATCCATAAATGTCGAGGAGTCATTAGATGTCCCGCTCTTGGTATTTTACGGCGAATCAATTTTGAAGCTTAGAATAAAAACCAAATTTAGTTTTACAGAAATACAATATTTTCATGTCTTACCATTTTCCAGCGTTTCTTTGGCTATAGAGAGTCGATTGGGGAACTTGAATTCCGTAGTAGGCTCCATTGTTATTTTAAAAACTTTGTAATAAAATAATTTAAATAGTTACCTATCATAAAAGTGTCGATTGAGAACCATAGATAGTAATCGAAAAAATTCAAATCCATTATCTATTGATAAGCACATATTTTTATTATCGATTTTTCAGTGTTATCAATATTCCGTGACGTCACTATGATGATAACATCGTCAATTTTTCCACCTTAAAAAAAGCGTGTATTGCATTGCTATACGTTAGCAGTTAACAGTAGCTGTAGAACGATTTATAAATTATAGTGTTAAATAATTTATTTATTATTATACTTACTAGCATACTATAAAAAATCAATACTATATTATATAGTAAATAGTAGGTCTGACCAGTCTTCATTCGTGACGAACGCCGACAATTGTATTTGTTTGCTGATAGCTACCATCGGTTAGCAGCAATTTTTGTGCTTATTGCGAAAAACACAAAATATGTTATTGATGCTACAATGGATAGGGCTGTGACCAGAGAACCGATTTGGCATAAGTGCAGCTTTTGCCAAAATGCCACGTTTGAGAAATTAGATCAGTTCGAAAGGTGAGTAAATAGAGATAGTACATTTTTTTTTTTATATCACAATGCTCAATGTTCAGCTGTATGACTTTACAACATTGTCAAAAATCTATAATATTATACTACAAATTAATTCACTTTAAAACATATTTAACAGTACATAATAACAATTTTTTCAATTTAAATCTATAGAACATTACCTACCTAGAAAATGTACCTGGAATATCTCTATTTTTCAAAAGCTTATATGTCAGTGGTCTACACTAATGGAAATGAGAAAGCTAAGGACCATACAAATAAAGCTTAAAATATTTTAACACTTTTAACTATCTTAGTATACAACTTAATTAATTTAGAACATAGTGTACTTAAAATACATTGAATTAGTGATACAGTTATCTATAGATATTTTTGGGTAGCCATGAAGTTAATTACCTAAATATAAGTTGTTTTTAGCCCAGACAAAAAAAAATGCATAAATATCGAAAAATAGAATATAGTTTCAGTAAGACATAAAAACTGAAATTCTAAGCCAATCCAAAAATGATTCACCGGACTGACAAATGAATAATGATAACACATAAAAACCTTACTTAAACTCAATTTATATTGTTTTTATGCAAATTTTTTTCTTTTATACAACTACATTTTTGTAAACTATGTCTGATCTTTAAAAAAGGGACCAGGCCTTAAATTAAAAAAAATTTGACTTTAATGTATAAAAAATGTTTTTACCACTGAGGTATTTTAAAAAGATATAACTATATGTATATTGATTTTTATAATTGTATAGTGTTTATTTATGTATTATTATATTTTTTTACTTTTTTTTTTTATAAGGCATTTGTATGAAAAACATGGAACAAAAGTACAGAGTAACCAGTACTCTTGTGAGTATGGATCCAACAGAACTTGTAATATTTGGAATAGTAAAAGTTCTAGTGAAACGGAATATAAAACGCACGTTGTACGAGACTATGCATTTAGATCTTCTACTGCCATTCCTTATCGTAAAACATCAGATAGCAAAAGACCTTCCGATGAGTGGAATTTTTATTCAGCTTCTCAAAGTCTTGCGACCGTTTTAAATGATCCAAGGCGACCTAGACCTGTACGTTTTTCTTCTTTCAAAATGTTCTTGTATTTTTATAACAATAATACAAATACTATTTTGTTTATTTTCATAAATGTATTATATTAATATTTGAATTTACAGAAAGACTTTTTTACCAAGATTTGGGGTGATAAATTCTCTGATCTAAGTCCAATTCCACCACCTCTACATTTGCCTATAATAAAACCTCAGTATTTTCAAACTTATCTTAAACGAATAGCAAAGGTAATAAAGAGTATGTATGAAATTTGTTTAAAAATTGTCAGTAATTAACCGGTTTGGATTTTTTTAATTGTAGAGACACAAAAAACATATAGAACTTGATAAAAATAAAGAAAAAGAAGATTATCCTGCGGAAATCCTTCAACAATTTCCAAATTTAAGATTATCAAAATCGTCAGGTATGACTCTTGTAATTTGACTAATTATGTTTATTGTGTAGACGACAAAATAATAATTTTTTTTTTTTTTATAGACAGGGTTAGTTATGATCTATCCGAAGTGCCATCCATATTCTTAGAGTCCCAGTTCGATCTCAGTAATTCTGAAACATTTTTTACTGTGTTTCCCAACATCTTCCCCACTTTAGATAACTTTGCCAAAGTTCCTACAGCTAATATTAAGATATCAGACAAATCTGTACAGGAAAAGGTTGTATTATTATTATTATTATTTTTTTATTATATCTTACTGGAAATAATATGTTTCTTTTTTTTCTTCTTTTAGTTAAGTCATTACTTGGATACCGTTGAGGTGAAAATAGCGCAACAAGTGAGTTCTAAGTCCGAAGCTTTTTTTCATACAATGACATCACATGATACACTCATGGAACAAATTCGCCAGTCTATTCAACTGACTCGACAATTAAGGTTTTTAAAATTAATTTATATAAATTATTACAGTACTTATTTTGTATTTACATACAGGGTGCAGCGCAGGACTATACTTTTTTGTTTAAATAAGCAGTCGACCTTCAATTATTGAAAAAAAAAGTTATTTATTTTTATTAGATATTTACATTATGACATGCCATTTGAAAATAGTATATGCAAAAACTGATATCTTTGATGTGATGAGTATTTTCACCCACATACATTTGGGGACACGCAGAACGGGTAGGGCTGTCTTACCCTCTCCGCATATTTCAGAGTCCCTACATGTTCTTTTTGGGCCTGGTTGTTTTTTTTAATTACTGTTCCTTCTTTACAAAGGAAATATACCCATTGCAAAAGGGTTTTAGGAGTGTAGACCAATATTAAAATGTAGTCTAAATTTCCACAGTAGTCACAACTGACTTGGCAGTCTGTACGTCGTATGTATCATAACCATAACGCTGTGATCCAAGCTACAAATTATAAAATGGCATCTCATGGAGAGTAAAGCAGCGCCACCCCAACTTTTTTACCAATCCTACAAATTTGGCATTGTGCATGTTAAAAAGGGTCTATTTCCGAGCCGCACCTTGTATACTAATAGTACGAATGTAAAATATTTTTAACTTTTCATGTAACAAAAGTTTGTAGTAATTGTTTTTTAAAACTTAATAGATGTAGAATTAGGCAAGTAGATGAAGAACTAGTGACAAAATCAATGTCTATTTTGAAAAACAATTCAACAATATTGAACCATAGTAGAGTTATTGAAAAAGTATGTACTTAAAAAAAAAAAATGTTTGTAATATTGAGTCAGCCCTATGTGATGTTATGTTATTATACAGTTGAAATTAATGTCCACTGTGTATCACACACAAACAACAATACAAGTTTTACTTTCGGCTGCTGACTACGTTGCCGCTTTAGATTTAATTTATACTACTAAGGACCTATTATCTAAAGAACTTTCAGGAGTTCATTGCTTCAGGTAAATATTTATTGAAAATATAATATATTTCATTCAAGTAATTTTTTTTTATCTCCATGACATGGTTAACCATTACACAAATGATTGTTGATAATTTAGGCATTTGACTTCCGAGTTGAATGAAATTATTAAAATGATAGATGCTTTGATGGCTGGTGAATTCGAGCGCTGTTCGTCGGCAGATTTAAATAGACCGTTAGTTAGTACCGATACAGAAGTATTAGAAAAAGTATGTAAATTTCTATTAATTTGTTTCATTACAAAATATAATAATTTTCAATTTGTTTTGTAGGATAAATTTTTTTCAATACTAATGGGCATGTTACGGCGTAAAAATTGGGCGTTCCTTGAGGCTTACAGCAAAGAATGCACGGAGGCCATAAGTGCTGCCATAAAAAAAAGCGTAATTGATATAGTTGCCAACAGTGATATGGATCACCAGGTTAATCAGTCTTCAAGCTTAGAAAGTTATTTGCACTGTTTAACATCTAATGAATGGCTAAAGATGCTAGAAAACTGCTCGTATACATTGTCAATACTTATACAAAGAATAAAAGTAAGTGTTAAGCGCTTGAGTAAACATTTTCTGTAAATTGTAAATATATTTTACAAGGCCTCTGTTTGTAGTGTTTGCCTCTTCCTTTACAAAGTCTAAAAATTGCCCTTAAGCTATAGTTATATTGTGCCAATATAACTATTTAACATTAATAGTCTAAATCTAAATTTATTTGAATTATCCTTTTAATTCAAACTTATCAAATTAAATAACGTTTTTCAGAGTATTTTCACCACTTTCAGTTCTAACAGTTTCTGAAGTCCCGAGAAAGTCCTTAGCCCACTGTGTACTTACCCCCTTGTCTACCTTTTTTTCATACATGTAACACGTGCTCTAGATCAGTGGCTCGCAAACACTTTTTTTTTGAAGCGCCATTTTTGAACTAAGGTTAGGTTACAGTATGAATCCAATTTACTTTTAGACCAGATAATATTCCATGGTGGCGCCCCTGTAAAAACACAGTAGGGTGCTAGAAACTGCTGCTCTAGTTGTCAACTCGAAGTTATTAAAATGGGGTTTAAAATAAAAAATTATTTAAAACTTTTTTCAGGCAGGATACAAAATTATGCTACATGCTCTTAATGTAAATGCGAAAAAATTGCTCAGTATGGAAGACAACACAATCGGGTGAGATGAAATAATTTAATCAATAGTAATTATTATTACTGTCAACCAGAAACAAACAAGGTTATATTTTCAAAATTTATTTTTTAGCATGGATGAAATGTCGTTTGAGTCAAATTTGAGTGAAGAAGAATACTTGAAAGTAAGAGCCAAATTAACTAATTTATTAAATTCAGTTACCAAATACGCTGTTGAAAAGTATGCTCAATTAGTCACTAAACGTTCAAGTGCCAAGTAAGTTATTTGAACAAAATGTATTGCGTTTTTGAAGTAACATTTATTAGTTTTCATTTTTAGGGCTGAGATTGAACAAGTTAATGGAAATACTGAACAATCCGATAGTAACGAAGAGATCAATAATTGTTTGTCTGATCAAAAACAATTGTTACGTTTGAATGAATGTATAAAAAAATTAAGTGACAGTTATGTTGAAGTCTGTTCTAATCAGGACGTGGGATATAAAATTTTACAGAATGCAATGCAATCAGAGGTTGTATTAACTACGTGAATTGTTAATAATAATAAAATAATAATAATAATAATGTTTTTGATATTATTTTTCAGGCTAATAAGTTTGTGAAAAAGTTCCATACTGATAAAATCAACAAATTACAATTGATTTTGGAAGCTGAAAATTGGAAACAAGCAGATGTGCCATCAGAATTTCAGGAACTTGTCGAGTACATTCAGAATACTGGTAATTAGAATGCAATTCTTCAGTTTGCCAGACGATAGATTATTTTGTTTGTTTTTAATTTTATTTTAAACAACATAATTCAAAATTGTATAATTATTTTCAGGCAAATTTTCTATACCCAAGCCCTTAACGCCTAAAGAACATACAAAACCTGGTCAAGTACTAATTTTAAATGATGAAAATTTCGTAGTGGTTGGGTTAGTTTTTATAGCATTTTTTATCGGTTGGTTTCTGAAATTGACATAGTGTTACTTTGCATGGATTTTTAACAGGACAGTACTGATTTTAATTAGAATGGCAAGTGACTATTGTAGCAAAGCAGACGAGATTAATATGGCAGCTAATGGTTTGTTACGCTATTTGTGTGATATTCTTCGAGAGTATAACTCCAGATCGTATTATTTGGTGCTCCAGGCAAAAGCAATATCAAACAAAACTGGTCTGAAGAAAATTACGTGTACAAATTTAGTGTTGTCACTTAGAGCGTTGCAATTACTGCTTTGTCTGTTGCCCCATTTACAAGTCCATTTTGTCAGTAAGTAAAACTATGGCTGAACTATCATGCTAGTACAAATCGTTTGTAGATATTACGTTAATATTTTTTATAAACTGCGCTGTCGTATAGAAATTTTAAAATGAATGTATTAATAATTTTTATATTATCGACTGTAAGTTTAAGCCATTATATAACGATTGGGTGTCTATTGGTTTACCTTACTATTTAAATAATAAAACTATGTAAATATAATTTTGTTTCTTACTATGATTAGAATATGTATTGTTTTTTTTGTATTGCGACTTCAACAATGAACACATTATTGAGCGTGTTGATTTTTCTTAGAGTATTTGGAAGAATCACAAGTGAAAAATCAATTGAATCGAGTGACAATTGAGATAAATAAGCACACGAATGACATTCAAGATAAGTTGCATGATATCGTGAAGCAAATCATTTTGAATCAAATGTCAAGTTGGGAAGCTAAACCTCCCATTCCATCAAAGTCATTTCAAAATATTTGCAAGTGCGTATAAAGTAATACAATATTGTTTCCTAATTTTATCTTTGGAATTACCTCTTTTTTTTTCTTCTCAGGCACATATGCAAATTACACGAGGCAATAGCGAGTATATTGCCCAAAACTCAAATTGAGTTTTTATATAGACGAATACACATAACGTTCAAAGAAATTTTGCACAATTGTATTCACAAAATGGACAACACAAACAACGATGGACCACTTCGCGGGTAATTGTGATTTTTTTATATTTTTTTCAGAAAATCACCTCTTTAAAGTGTACTTATTTTTATATATGTATAATCGTGATATATCTTGACTTATAAGTACAATTACAATACGTATGTGTGTGTTTTGTGTTATGCTATAGAATAGTGTCGTCTGAACTGATGTTTTATGTCAAATCTCTAGAAAGCATCAATGTTTTACCCAAAGAAGAAATGGCTTTGCAGTCGATGAATGATATATGGGATGAAAAATTGTCTACGAACAATAGTCAGTGATAATGGATTTTCGGAAGTTGAACAAATTTGTTTACTAATAAAAAAAAAAAAATACCTTTAAAATATATACCTGTTATTCAATGTAATGATTTTAAATATTGAAATCTATATAAATTCTAAAATTAAGTCATAAAATAAACAGTAATAATAAATAAATAAATAAATGTGTATTATATGCATTATATAATAATTAAACAAATTGCTATTTTTTTATCGGTTATATAATTAGAAATAAACTTATGTAATATGTCCCAAGCCAATAAGGGCATTTTTTTTAAATTGAGGGTTGAGTATAAATTAATTATTTGTATTTATTTATTGTTAAAAAAAAAATATTGTATTCTATCATAATGACTTTTATGCTGCTAATGTTATTTTTAAAAGTAGATAATATAAAGTTGTAATTTTAGACTGAACATTATCGGTAAAATTTATACCAATTTTTTAGCCAACACTCAAAAAGTATTTTAAAGAAAAAACTAAATTGATTAAAACTTAGAATAAATTGTTTTATTTCGTTTGATTTAGGTTAAGCTGTTAAAGTAATGTCAATTATTTTTTAACAGTTTTGTTGTTTTTTAATCTTAAAATATTCTTTTTTACTTCCTTATATCATTATTTAACCTGTTTATTTTATTGAAAAGACAACAAATTTTCTTTTGTGTACATAAAGTTTTGAATTTCGCTTTAAAATGATCTTGTGTGGAAGTAAATAACTTCATTCAATGAAGACTTACAAATGATAATTTGATTATAATTAAAAAGTGCTCAATTGTGTCAGGTCATTCATACTATTATTTAATTTTTATAAAATAATTCAAAGATTTTGGTCAATCTTTTGGCTAAAATAAACAAAACTATTAATCTCTGTATTCACTATCATTAACATGCAAAGTAATTAATATTTTTTTTTTCTATTTTAGTTGTATTTTCTTAAAATATTTTTAAAATTATCTTACACGAATGTGATAGGGTGTTTACTGTCAACAGTTTACCTACCAAATAGTTTGTTACACTTGTTATAATTATGTACCTTTATTGTGTTATTTATACATAATCATTCTGTGATAAAGCAAATAAAAGGAAAAATATTTGTAATGTTTAAATCTTAAGATTTGTTTTTTTTTTTTTAATTTCATTTTCAATGATTGTTTGTAATTATATAAAATATATGGATGCGATATGCAATATGTTTTAGTATAATATATAAAAAAAAGTTGGATGAAATGACTTTTTCACGACTGTTTTAGTTATCCTTGAATTCCAAATTTATTTGTCATTTTATGTCACCCTGATTTTGAAAACAAATTTTAATTGAGTAAAATTCAATTTCCATACTATCTATCTTTGGTAACTACATTATTATTTTTTTTTTCACAAAAAAGTTTTCGTTTAATTTTTTAATAAGTATTAGCTCAAAATTTAATTTGGTTAAAACCGCGAAAAAAAGAAAATTCTTTGTCAACAAAGTTTTTAAAGGTTTTTTTTGTATTTTTGAAACGTTTCATTTACCGGTATAACCGGTATAAAAAAAAACTAACCTAATTTAAATAAAATTAGTTAAATTGGTGATTTTAATCACAAAATGTATTATTGGATATTAGTTTATTTGATCTTAAATATCATCTATTTCGTAAGACTTGTTTTAATACGCCTAAATATGAATTTCTAATTTCTTAGTACAAGGTATAAAAGATTAAAAAAAATTATTGGTCCGACTTGTAAATGAAACTATTTGGCGTTCATATATTAAAAAAACTTTCAATAAGCTCCTATTATATAATTGTCATAGCTTATGCAATTGTTGAGCTACACTGCCCAAATTTCAATCGCATATCAAGTTAAGTCAGCAGCATAAACTGTACAACATACTTAAGTCTATACCTAGTTTCAGACGTCTAGGTAGCGAGAAAATAAACAATTTTTGACAAAATGAAAAAAGAACACCCTATTTATTAACATTCCTAGCTGTTCTATTTTCACATAAGCATAACATATTATTACATATCATCTGACTCCCAAGTCCCATTCTGATATTAGAAAAAGACATTTTCGCGGAAACCGTAGGTACAGGTATAGCTATTTTAAAGTGAAAGCTAAATTAATTTGTTTGTAACAAAAATGTATAAAAAAATATAGAATTAATACGCAGCTCGGTAGATAATACCACAATACAATATAAGAATATTAAATTGATTGAATAGACCTGGTCTGAGGTTAATTTTAGTGCCATGAAACCTGATTATTTCTAACAAAGTATCGTTCTAACTTCTAATTTTAATATATTTTTGCCTAATACATATTATTTTCAATATATTATATTAGCACTTGGCGCGCAGGAACGAAATGGCAAGTATTATACTTCATCAAGACCACCCAAAGATATCTAGCTGTCCTTCTTTCAAAAAAAAATTCTTGTTAGACCAAAAATATTAAATTATTTTTATCAATAAACATACTGTTTCATTTAACATACAAACCAAACCCTTTATGTTATCGATTATGTATTCTTGAATTAATTTTCTTCATCTGTTTTTTATATAATAAGATTCGGTTATACGTTCGGTTGTATACATTTGTTGATCATTTCCTTATCCCGCACAAGAAGGGTCGTAACTCAATACTTCATTCTCTTTTGTTTACTATCATTATTCTATCAATTGTAAACACATTCATTGATCTTCTTGGGTGTAATTACTTTACCCTCATTTGTAGTCACTTTTTTCTCTAATAAACATCATAATTATTCTAAAGAAAGGTATTTCACCAGAAAAAAGGTCTTGTTTCTCCGGCTCTTCGATAAACTTCTTCATTTGGTATGTGTTCTGTCTAGCTTATTATAAGTAGCCTCCTGTACCATGTCTCGAACGCTAGGAGTCTGTTTTCTTCTGTTTTACCTATGGTCCATGTAAGGTTTTTCCTCAGTTTTATTTCAATATTTCTAGATATAAACATATTTTTCTTGCTCTGAAATATAAACTACAATTATTTTAAAATACTCTCATTATGAATTTTATACATTATAGTAATACATATTATATATGTATATAATGTATACTACCATAAGCACAGAGTGGAGCTTAAACGGCTTAGACCGACCACAAAAAACTTGTTTATTGAAAAATTTAAGTATTACATAAATTATTAAAATACAAAAATATATATTTTTTAAATCCATTTATTTGCTGTTTAATCGTAATAATTTGATTGTACGATTCTCACTTTTTGAACACAATTGTTAACATATATGCGTCAAGCCCATGCTGTTGGAATTACTGAGCATTTATGTTGATGCTGAACAATTTGATTTGAAGGAGGAAAAAAAACTGTGGATTAAAACTAAATCATGAGACATAAGTCATGAACCGTAAGATTTAGCCAAATTTATCAAATCTTATAAAATTAGAGATACCAGTAAATTCTGGTATTTGCAAAAGATCATTCTTGGCTAAACGAAGAATAAATAATTGGCTGCGTAATTCAACGGTGCAAGATAAATTCACTGATTTCTCAATACAATGTTTTTTTACATTAAAAGAAGCATATCTAAAAAAATAATTGCCGAAGAAATAATCAATGAATTTAGTAAAAGTGATCATAAACTGCAATAATTGTAATAAATAATTCAAAATAATGTTGTTCGAAATCAAACATAATGTAAAATATATTTTAATAAATGAAGCATGAAATAATAATAAAACGAATGTATCATTCACAACAATAAACAATAATTAAGAAGGCGTGATACCTATTATTTATCAAGGAATTCGGTAAATCAATTTATTGTGACCATATCAATTTAAAGTTTGTACAGAAATGTGTGATAATTATTTCAGTAATTAGGACTCTTTTTTTGGTAATTTATTTATTTTTCGGACTATCACAGTATCCTTGACACCGGTTTTTAATAATTTGTTTATCTAACCATAGCTACGCACCGTTTTACACGGTTCTTGGTGGTATTAGAGCCAAAACACATAATATTATGAAATCGAATGACGATAGAGACAATGTCATATCCTTTTTTTGAATATGTTCATTATTTAGCTTGATACTTGATGTTAAAAAACATATTTTTTACATTTTTTAAACAATGATATTTTTATTTTTTTCTGAGAAATATTTTGAAAAGAGGGATGTCACATTATCTCAAGTCACTACACTAGGAAATTGTCTTTTTAATGAATGCATATCAACTAATACACTATAACATAGTAGGCTGTAGGAGGTAAGTTAACGAATAGTTATTTCAATTAGATAACTATTATATCGACGACATGGTGCACAGCTGATGTCTTCTTATAGGTATTATATCCTAAAGGAAAATACACATCATAATTCATAACATGTATTGAAAACGTCTATGCCTAGGCCTCTAACATCAAAACGGTGAATCAATGGACAATAACTTTTATTATTTATACACGATGTGTACTGTGTACAGGTGTCTAATATTGTATTGCTATACATAACTCAATTTCCCAAAAAAATGCAATTTACGCATGTGCGCACTATACCATTGTGTAGGTAAGACATTTTAAACTATTAATATGTAACTATTAAATAGAAAAAAATACTCCAGCTACCTAATACTGATAGTAGTTATAAGCTGTGGTTTCAGGTTTGTATAATTATTAATAAAAATACACATGTTTTAATAGTCGAGGTGTTAATGTACGGTACATATTTACGAACAACATAATATACATAATACAAGTTTTATAATAACAATGATTTGTAAGTCGTGTAATATATTATCATAATAAGTACTCTAATATTGTAAAAATCATCCATACCAAATATTTTGATAAATAAAAAATAAATTTAAATATTTTGCAAGGTTAGGTTCTTGTTGGTTTTACTTAAAAAGTAGTTTTCAATTTGTTTACGGATAATGGAATTGGGCAATACATACGGGTAACATACTTAGTGGAATTTACATTGTTGCTGTTAGCTTTATTGTTATTTTGCCAAATCATTCTGAAAACGAAGTAGCGGTTTTTGTTAGCTTTTAATTAAAAGAATTCAAAGTATGTGCAACTATAGGTTGCAGAACTATGTAATATCATATACATGACATTATAACCATGACAAAGAAACGTATCTTAATAATAATATATGATGTACTTTAAACATAACGTTACTTAAATAGTACTGGTACTTATAATGCCTAAATACGTAACGCTGTACAAGGCATTACTTCTTAAAAAACTATAAAATAAATTATTTTATACATTTTAGAACATAACATAAATATTAATTAACCACACATAATAATTTATAGTCGATTAAAATGACGAACAGGGTAATGATATGCTCGTGGGCATAATGATCAATTTCACAGTAGTATCATATTGGCATGATTTATTATGGCATGGTTGTTTTAGTAATTAATCACTACACTCGACAGGATCGACGACAAATTAGCATGTAGTTTAGTATGCCAATAGATTAAAAAAGAACTGCTGAGGTCAGCCTGTATTCGCGGGGTTTCTTTAAGTAGGCAAAGCATTTGGCTACTTTATTATTATTATTATTTTTTTCGGTCGTTTGCCTTATATTAACTCGATAGTTGCCACTGTCCACTAGAAAAATAATTTTGCAAACTAAACGCCAAGCATAGATTCCTACAAGCATTATAATTGTATACCTAAAAAAAAAAATAACATTAATAAATACATTGTTTTGTAATAATTTTGTGTATAGCCGTTTTTCAAAATATGTTAAACGTAATAAGTATTCTAGGTGTCTACCTTGACTACTACTACAATGATTCTTAGTGTTATAAAACGACTAGAGAAAAATTCGAACCGGCCTGAGGTATAGCCGGTAAGATGGAAATGAATATAGCTTTACTAATAGTTATGTATAGCTATTGCGTCACCAATTAGAACGCTGAATAATTGTTGATTTTTTTAGAGGACGTTGAGATATCTAGCGGTCTTATGTTCAGATGTATCGGATAAAAAAAAAAAATGATAAAAAATAAAAGGATTTTTTACAATGAAGTCGAACGTGGGCGTTTAAATCTCCATAGTGTTTTATTTTACATGGTCAAATTTCTGGCGTCAAAGCGAATTTGCAGCGTTGCAGAGTTGATAAAATGACGGTCGCTAGTATAAATTAATAAATTACGACAAAATGTTATGCTTAAGGTTAATATAAGGCAAACGACCGAAAAAAAAAATTAAATATTCACAGGCCTGCTGTGTAGGTTTAATGAAAAAATAGACACATAAACAAATTGCTAATGTTAAATTGTACTGTTACAAGCGAATAGTTTATACAATTTTAACGACTTTTGGTTGATTAAAAATTAAATTATTCAAGTAATTAATAGGTTTCTCATTAAATAGCCTAGCAGGGTGAAACTTTTTGGCTTATTCGACCCAATATTTAGTTGGCTATTGTACAGACGATTTAAACTAATGTTAAAAATAAAGTTTTAATTGGCGGCTATTTAACGATACCCAAACGATTAAAATATGGAAGACGTTAGTATATTGATTGTATACGGTTTTTCGTTTTGTCTAATAACTGAATCACCGAGTTATGTCAAATAGATTTTCAATTTTATTAGAATCTTTTTAAAAAAAAATACGCAAATCACGAATATATTGTGCCCAGTCAAAATAAACAATTCACAAGACACTAAAAAAAAAATGTATATTGTATGATTAATTTGTATATTGCTCTGGAATTCAGCCTTTTTCTAAAAATGACCATTTCAAATGTCATGTTATCAATTGAAACATATTTATATATAAGACCTATATCGATTTAGCCGGTTGGTAGTCGCCATCCAGGCACAATTATTATTACTACCGAGCACAAAATATAATATAATATAATACTCTGGCGTAGACTGACCCAAGGTTAACAATGTGGTGGTTAACTACATTGGTGGTGGCGGCGGCCATAACTGTCCAGAACGAGATGACACAGAATCCGGTTCTGTAAAAAAAAAATAAAGAGGTGCTCGATACACACACACACACACACGCATACGGCCGTTTTTTAGGTGGGAGCACGACGAATGTACAATGTTTTTACCTATACATGATCGCCGTATGAGTATTATGTTAATATTACATAGTACTGTAAAGTAGGTATCCGCGCATGTGTGTGTGTCTGGCAACCTAGCAGGCGTCTTATTGTCAGCCGACGGGGGAACAAGAGGACGCTAACATTAATCCCATTAATCTCTCCATCAACCGACGCTTCGGTGCGCTCCTCCGTCTCCGATGTCGTTGTTCGTTATCTCCAATTCTGAAGTAATGGGTGCGATTTTTAACTTCGGTCACCTAGACCTATGAGGACTTATCATATACAACACTCATACAGCTAGATAACCAAAGAGAAAAACACGCTTCCCGTCTTGAACTGCTTCCGTCCGATCGACTGTACACATATAAACATAATAATTAGGTACACAAACGAGCGCCCATAATAATATATTATTATAACAGCTATAGAGAGCTAGGGGATATGTTATTTTACAAATAGATTGCTTAAAAGCATCACATCAATGAAAAAAAAAAATCATGCAGTTGCAACAACGTCCGAGCTCTAATAGTTTTATCGCATAGACGTTCTGTATGTATATATTTTTAAAGTTTACGTTTTTTTTTTAGTATTTTTCAATAATTAATTAAAAATAAGTATATTGAGTTATCGAAAATTCAAAAACGCTTAAGGAAAGATTCATATATTTTTTGTGAAAATTGTTTACAACTATTCCAAGACACTTTGGATTTGTTTCGCGCGATTTGATGGAAGAAAATTGCGTTTATATTTTTTCTTTAGAAAGGACTGTGATAGTCTGCCAAAAATAAAAACCAATTAAAACCCTCTGTACTGTATTAATAAGTAGGTATACACTTTAGTTTAAGCTCTAAATTATTGTTTATTAAAAATTACTTATACTTAAATAATTGAGTGGGTGGCGTTCTCTTAACTAAAAACAAATACAACCTGTATACTGTATAGGTATTTACTAGTGAAGTATACTCATAAACAATTTAACATATTTATAAATACAAATACCGTACATATTTAATGTAATACAAAATATATATTAAAATGTAATAAATAACCCCATCGTCTATAAAACATACAAAGCTAATAAAAACTAGCATATTTGAGTATAAAGTACAAAAAAATAATCTTTACATAAAAATCATAACGTTGATTTAAAAAAAAACCAAATAACTTAAATCTTGAAAACATTGTAATTTGTTTACTAAACTATGTTCTCAATAAATAAATAATTTACGCATTAATATTATCAATATTTCCAAATGCACACATTTTTTAAATGGTCACTTAAATAAATCTTCGATCTATAATAATTGTTAACAATTGTCTTATGCGAGTGCCGACAGAGTCGGGTGCCTATCGTGTGACCACGCACGTCTAAACTCTGCAGGCCAGTGTTCCACCCTGATTACCTTTTTGGATATTTGAGAGCAATAATAATAACATAATAATATACTGTTACACGTACCCGTATTTATGATAAAAAGATCTGCTCATGAGAGAGAGACCGTCCCAGCGCACAGAATAAATTCTCCTTTTGGTCTTATAAGAGAAAAAAAAACGACCCCATGCGGACTTAACGTGGGCAAATCTGTTTCTATACTAATGTTCGGCTAAGTCTTACAAGTAAGCACGGTATCATCGAATAATGATTTTTTGTCTGTGCGACGTGAGGGTGCGGACATATTCTCCCTCTCAACAGATATTATGCAATAGCCGACCCCTAAGCAGCACACACTCTTTCTGCTCTCCAAATGGATTTTCTTTCATCGCCGATGTCGAAAAATAAATAATAACAAATCACGAACAATGTGCTGGTTTGAGAAATGCTCAAAAAAATAATACCTCCTGGAGTCAGCCTGCAACCGGTTGAATCGCGACTCTTGAAAGACACCTATATGTTTATGAAGTAGAGAATATTATGGTATAGGTCAGTAGTATTGTATAGTAGTAGTCTGTAGTAGCAATAGCTGTTGTGCGTAGCGGCAACACCATCAGCGGCTGTTAGTAAACGCCTTCCGGATAATTTATGACCGTTTAAATCTGAAAACCGATGCGGAAACCGAAAGGATTCAGATGGCCGATGATGTTTAAATAAAGAAAAAATGTATACATATACTTTCCCTCGGACGAGAATCTTATGATGCTATTGCCTCCGGAGAGTTAATGGCCGGTAGTCAAGAAGGTTGATAAATATAGCCTGAGGTGCGACCAGCAAGGACGAGGATTGATAAAACATTTTGACCTTTTTATTTAGACGTAAATGTTAAATAAAGCTTCAATGTTTTTATTTCAATGGTAATATTTAATTAGAATTTCCTTCGCATTCAAATACAGTGAGATCAACACAGTAGTTTGTCAGTAAAAAAAAAAAAAAAACGTTTTGTTGCACAACTATCGATATAATGTCTTAATAACCTTGTATCGGTCGAGCTGGCCTGGAGAACGTCTACTGTCCCATGTTTTGATAAGGTCTCATCTGTAAAACTCGAAATCGGGAAGGCAGATCTAATTTTTGAAAAAAAAACTGGCAAAATGTATGTATATAACAAAACGATTGAACTGGTAGTGATACCGTGATTATGTTCTATTCAGTAAAACAATAGGTCAGAGGTCCATCCGCCCCTACTTGTTGATAGAATCACTTCCGGCACCAAAGCGTTTAACAGTGATATCCCAAGACATTAACCGTTTATCTCACTCATGCATCATCTGAGGGGTACTGCGTCCAACATTTTAACGAACCTTTCTAGAAAAAAAGAAATCATAGTTGCGCCATTTAAGAGGACGCCACGCCGCCCATTTTGAAGAAGTAAAGTATATTTATACAATTTTTGTACTAGTGTTATCAAACCGTTTACTATGTTTTTCCGTTTATGATCAATTTCAACGGTTGTTATCGGAAAGACTGATTGCTAGTTGAGCCAATTTCCCAAATATAGCCTTGAGTCGCTATAAATATTTTTTAATTTAATTCATTTTTTTTTCTTTTAACTCTTAAGAGGACGCCACACCGTCCATTTTGAAGGAGTTAAATATAAACAATGTTTTTACAAAATCTTATCTTAAAGGTGATGTGTAATTATTAGTTCATTAGTTAGGGTACTCTTTTTTGGTTATTCAATTATTTTTTGAACTATCACACGTTCAAATCCAAACTGTATAGGTTTTTACGTAATGATCATACGGCTAAAATTTGAGTTTCATCAAAAAGAGGAGAATTTAAACAATAATCTCTCGTTGGTTTTTTCTTAAACTTCACAATTTAAGTTTAGGTTTTTGGTTGTTTTTAAACAGCTAATGTTTTAGATTTTAAATTTAGTTATTGAAAAAACTCGACGACAGAAATTCAACTCTACAATCATTAGATACCGAGTTACATAGTTTGGCGTTGGCCGTGCTTTACTTCTAAATTTTAGGAGTATAGCTTCATCTCAATACGTCTAGTCTTTGGACGGGCGTGTAATATAATATATTATATAGAGTTATTCGAAAATGAGTATTTAAGAATTAAGTTTGAACGTTTGGCAATAATAATTAAAAAAGCTGTCATCCCTAATTTTGTACGTATTGGCTTTTTAGGCGATTTAATGGATAATAATAAATAAACACTTAAAATTTATAGTTAATGCTATCTCAGCAACCCATTTTGAGTGTGTTCCACTGCTTGAACTGTTGTTCGGTCAAAGTAAACGTCTGGAACGCGTGTTACCCTTAACTTTTTGTACTCACCTACATCCCTAGAATTTTCCATCGACGCTACCTCCCCTCCCCCAAGAGCTTTATTTATATATATGTATATATATATTGTATTTATTCGGTTTACTCGAAATTTACATGTTATTATTATTTTACTCACAAGTTTCGACACTTCTACTCGTGCGAGACGCGAGTCGTATAGAGTTTCAGAATTAAAATAACGTTATACGAATAGCAATAAGGAAAATGTTTATGTGTCGCGATTATAGAAAAAAATAACTTAACGGTAGGTGGACAATGGCCAAATTTCGACGGAATCAAAACGTTATGAAACACCTCGATCGTTTTCGTTAAGAAAATATTGTTATTGCCTAAGCCTAGTTTACTTATAGAGCGTGTTGCCGTCCTAAGTTATCTTCGGTGTATATTATTTTGGGCAAAAAAAAACCGACTTACTTAACACAAAACTTCTGTACTGGCATATATTTTCAAAATTATAAGTAGTGTTATATTATGTGGCATTAAGGTTGGCAACTAACGACACGATTTATATTAACTGTTCGTACTTCACGTCACAACGTGTGCATAATATAATATGCATCGAATATCCCAATCTCCTTGAATTACATCCTCGGCGAATGAATAAGGACATTATGGATTACAAAATCGGGAATTTTAAAAATACATTTTTTTTTAATCGAGAAATACAATTATTTTTGTATACACTTTATTTACTCTATTTTATTGTAGGTTACCATTATTGTTATTATTTATATTTTAAATCAAATAACGTTTTTAATAGTAGATTCTTGCTTTTAGCTTCGAAGTGTACCTCAGAAGGGTATTGTTTTTACAATGAAGTGTTTTTTTTTTTTTTTTTGTGTCTGTACCCACGATATCTTTTATGCCACTGAACCGATTTCTTCGTGTAGCAACTTTATAGATCAGAAATAGTAATAGAGAAAAACACCAACCAATTTTACATATTTTTCTACTTAAAATTATGGCGCTTCATAAATGTTTGAATAATAGTTCAATTAGTTTCAAATATGTGAGAATATTCTTAAGTCATAGTGCTACCGATAAATGTTGACGATCTAAACAAATAGCATAAACCCTTTCCCCTAGAAGGAGTGGAAACTTTTTGTTTATTTAGCTTTTTTAGGTGATGTTTTAGAGGTTTAGGTATGAAAATTAAACCGCAGGTAGATCTAGAATGGGGCTATAACATGTACAGTTTTCTTATAAAATCTGTAGTCAAACTTTTTTTTATTAAGAAAAAACTAAAAAAAAAGGGTAAAATTACACTTGACCGTAGTAAATTTCCAGGTTGTCGTGTGCGAGTGAAATAACAGTTAACAGGTAATGAAAATATTTTCATTTTATTGTTATTTACGGTGTATGGGTGGTAACGATGGCAATTAGTGATGGGAAATAAATCCGGATTTTCTTAAAATCCGTAAAATCCGGTTTTCGGTTTTCGAAGTTCAATGAAAAAAATCCGGATTTTACGAAGAATCCGGATTTCACGAAGACTCCGGATTTCACGAAGAATCCGTATTTTACGAAGAATCCGGGTTTAATGACAAATCCGGATTTCAAAATTTGAACTTAAGAAACCGTAACCTGGGTTTAAATAAAAAGGAAAATTACCGATTTTAAAATTTATAAAGCAATTTTGTAATTACTAATTCAGCAGTACAAGATGACCAAATTGTTCAAATTAGTTGACTTTTAATCCTCTATGAAATGCTATTATCGGACCCCTTCAACTAAATTACCCTAAGTTATATGTTTCTAATGAACTTTAAGTTTCATAAATGTAATCTAGCTTAAATACAAAGTAAGTATGCTGTATTACAGTTCACTATTTGTGATATATTGAAAACAATTACCTATTTAAAAATTGTAAGCTATATTTGAGTAGTTTTTACATGCTTTTCTTTAACTCGCTAACACGTACGTACGTCCGTACGTCTGTACGTTTGTACGGATATTTTTCAAATCTTGCAAAATTAATTTAACCCACTTCCTGATATCATTAGGCTGAAATTTAACCTAGACACTCATTTTAGATGACAATACAATGTTCCGTCAAAATATTGGGACCTAGACATCCAGGTCGCAAATGCCGGGGGGTCAAATATGGCGGCCATTTCACTAAAATTACATTTTTTTTTTCAAATCTTCTAAAATGAATTTAGTAATCTATTCACCAATTATTAAGTACCTTTAATAGGACTAAAAAGTAAAAAATAAAATAAATAAATAAATAAAACTTTGTTATTAAAAACATGCTTTTCTAAAAAATAGTAAAAAGTGAACTAAAAAGTAAAAAATAATTTTATTACAAGAACAATTTACCAATCAATTGTAGCACATTTTTTTTAAAATGTCAATTATTTTAAAAACAACCGAAAATTAACTACAATTTTATATAATGTAATTGGTTCTACTGCTTAACTATTTATATCAAAAAGTATTATTAGTATTATTATTATTTATTTAGATTTAAGACATATACAATTCCAGATTGACTTATTATTTTTCCTAATTTATATATATGTGTTGTGTTGTGTATTTTTCATATTATTACAACTTATTGCTCTAAACTATTATAAAAGTGTCATTGAGACTTGTAAATCGTGTTTATACATAATGTTCTTAAAACTATAAAAACAGATACCTAATTTACCAATTTAATAATTAAATATGTTTTTGTACACTACATAAACGCGTTGTACATAATACTAAATAATTAACAAATATAATTTATTTATTATTGTAAAAAAATTGAAATCCAATCTACGAATTAATAATGAAAACTTCGAAATCCGGATTTATAATGAAAACTTCGAAATCCGGATTGATAACGAGAACTTCGAAATCCGGATTTATAACGAAAACTTCGAAATCCGGATTTCGAAATTCGAAGTTTAAAACTCCGGTTTTTTGAACTTCGCAAAATCCGGATTTTCCCATCACTAATGGCAATACATTATAATAGACAAACGATCAACCCTAATCGTATCCACTCTAATATTAAAAATTAATTTATAAGAACATAATTGTCATTAGGTTTATGCTTTTATCGATATTTATAGTTTTATCTGTAAACACTGGACCTTCTCTACTATGCTAGTTTATACTGTGCTTGGTTTGGCTGTACTGGTTTAAACATACTATCCACAGATTCGCATCAAAGCGTTTATTTAAAAGTAATTACTTTTTACTTATTTACTCACTTACTCCTATTACCACTACTACTACTACTACTACTACTACTACTACTTCTAACTACTACTAGTTTCTTACGTATAATCATTTGTGTACTGTGCTGCTTTATACAGTGCTTGGTTTGGGATTGTACTGGTTTGTACCTACTATTCATAGATTCGCATGGAAGGGTTTATTTAAAAGTGGTTCTATTACTTTCAGTTATAATAATACTTGTAGACCTGTGACCTCCTTGTCCCCACTGAACTGTTTTTTTTTATTAAAGTTATTTTAACACAAGTTAAAGTAATTTTTTTATATTAAATTAAAACTATATAGCAAAAGATTAAAAATAATTTTACTTAAAATACAAAACATGCAAGCTTTGCTTAAAATTTGAAATGCCATTCTTGAAAGTAATTATTTTTTATTTAAGTTGTTCAGTCTTCACATATTAGAAAACCGCTTCACACGTGGTTTTTCTGTCATGTTATGTAGCTCTTGTTAATGTATTAAAAATATTGTAATCTTCATTTTTAATATTTTGTTAAACAATTTAAACGTTTATAATGGATATCACGTAAACGTTAACAAACCTGGTGAAGAAGTCTTAGGAGATATTTACCTCAAATCCACATCACCAATGCTAAAGCAACTATTATGATATGCATCGCGTGTGTTAGAGAAAATAGAGTATTTATTTGTATTTTACTTCATCTGAATACAATATATTAAAAAGTTTTGGTTTTACATCTTAAACGAATAGATCGAAATTTCGATATCAATTTTTACTGACAAGGGTTACACCCAAAGTATGTATACAGATTTATTGTTACGCATAACTAAATAATGTTTCATCGCTTTTATGCGATTTTAATGAAGTACAGGTACCGTTTAAAATTAAATCTCTATAACTTTTAACTTAAGAGGTCGCTATACCCCTAAAATTTAGAAGTAAAACTCGGTCAACGCCAAACTATGTATCTAATGATTGTAGAGTTGAAATTTAGGTATCATCAAAAGGAGAAGAATTTAAACTATAATCTGTCGTCGGGTTTTTTCAATAACTAAATTTAAAATCTAAAAAATTAGCTGTTTAAAACAACAAAAAACCTAAACTTAAATTGTTAAGTTTAGAAAAAAACCAACTAGAGATTATATTTTAAATTCTACTCTTTTTGATGAAACCCAAATTTTAGCCGTATGATCATTACGTAAAAACCTATACAGTTTGGAATTGAACGTGTGATAGTTCAAAAAATAATTGAATAACCAAAAAAGAGTCCCCTAACTAATGAACTAATAATTACACATCACCTTTAAGATAAGATTTTGTATAAAATTGTTTATACTTAACTCCTTCAAAATGGACAGTGTCGCGTCCTCTTAAGAGTTAAAAGAAAAAAAAATTAATTAAATTAAAAAATATTTATAGCGACTCAAGACTATATTCGGGAAATTGGCTCGACTAGCAATCAGTCTTTCCGATAACAACCGTTGAAATTGATCATAAACGGAAAAACATAGTAAACGGTTTGATAACACAAGTACAACAATTAGATAAACCAATATTAAAAATACTTATAATAATAATAATATAATAATATTACATGCTAATACTATTATATAGTCGTTTGCAGTACATTACTCGACCGGCTCATTTTAGAAAGTGAATTAGGTATTGACATTATACCAGTATTTAGTTACATAAAATGTATTGACATTATATAACCACATTAACTTATTGTCGTACGCAATACACGCGTAACTGTATATCTTAATATTATGTCGATTTTTAAAAACCATAACCTTGTGTCCGAAATCCGAAAAATGAACATTACAGTATAATATTATACATAAATCATTATATTACTCATCACAGGCCTAACCTTAAAAAAAATCTATAATATGATGTGTTACGAGCGAGATAGAAATAACATTGTTAAAGTAGACGGAATGATTTAACGGCAAGCAATAATAGGTTGTGTATCGAAAACGAAAAAAAGTAAAAGTGAACGTCGCCGCCCAGGGTTGTTTGAAATTAGTTTAAACATGTTAATTTTTAATAATATCGGTCTACAATATTACCTGTGTGCTTGTTGAATTAGTTTCTGTACAATTTTCATAGTAAAAAAAAAAAAATCGTTCCAAAAAAAAACTCATTTTGTAGGTGTCGTGAAATTTTAACATATTATGTTAATCGGCTGAATATAAATTTAATAAAATAAAAAAACTTGAATGGTACTTAGTTAAGTTTGGAAAAAAGTAAAAAAAAAGTTGTTATACCAAGAGTATTTAGTAGTAACTGTAGAGATTTATACGTGCACTATAAAATATAGTGGTAAGGTCTAGAGGAGACCGCAGACGACTGGCACCAAACTGTTGACTAATGGGCAACCTGTAGGTGTAAGGTCCAGAAATCTGTGCACACACAACAACCGGTTCATATTTAACGAACAGGTACTGGTTCTCGTCCCACCAGGCGTACACACACACACACACACATATACGACATATACTTATACTTATACACACACACACACAACATACCTTTTGTTAGCCCATCTCCTAATCTATACAAAAGCCGTCGTCATCGTCGCCGCGTCGTGTGCGTGTATCTGTTTCTTCTTCTTCATCTTCTTATTTATAATATATATATATATATATATACATGCCTATTCAATTTAGCGCGCGAGCTATAGGGTTAGTTCGGTCTTCTAACTAATAATAAATTCCAGACGTGTATGCACGAGGTTTAAAACGATTGCGGCCGCGCGCGCCGGACGACGACGACGACTGTAATAACATTATAACCAAAACCAAGAAGAATATTTGTTTCAATTTTCCATACACACTACACCCAGTACACTGTTAGTCGTCGCACTCAAAATCACCCCACTTGTTCTCTGTAGCTGATCGCCCAAAATTATTTATGCCAAACCCAACTTCTTACATATTATTACTTGTTTCACACACACACCGTGGGCTACAACACAATAACGCTCTATTATTATAGTTAGCTGTTTCGTCGGTTTCTCACTTTGAAAATTTTGGAAAACCACCTTTGTGCCATATGATAATTTCACCCGGGAATAGCCTACTATGTACAAAATGTGTGCTAGGGTATTAATGGAAAAAATACAAAGGCCGTGCGGCGATGGTGATGTCTATAATATAGTGCACATAATACAGAAGTTGAATGTAAAATAATCATTTTGAACGGATAAGCACATGACACAATATATTATACACAACAAGCAATAGGAGAATGTATAAAGTATAAGCATGCGTGGCAAGAACCGTTTTCAGTATTCCTGAGTCAAGCGACTTATTAATTATTAAGCGCCCTCGAGTATATAGAGGAAAATTGTTTCCATAACATTCATACGCTTTAAAATTCTTATAGATCACACTACTTGGATAAAGTGAAAAGTGAAACCCCTTACTTAAGGAGCTAATGTTGAGAATGATTGTATTTACAGTGTCAAAATAATAAATGGCCTACGCCAGTGTAATAGTTCTTGTTATTTTTGGGAACCTGTAGGAGCTTAGAAGATTTGAATTTGTCAAACCCCTCCTTTTCTATCCATACGGTTATGTGATTTATATTATCGCCTTTGTGTAGATTAAATGATTAACATTAAATTATACTAATTAAGAGCTAAGTTAACGTTTACCGAGTTTGAGGACGTTAAAGTTTACATCAACATTGTAACATTACTTAATAAGTTAAATTTACTTGAAGTTAATTTGTAGAAAAACCTAAAAAACTTTCAGAAAATTTTAAACATTAATGTCACATAATAGGTAATGTTAATTCTTAAGTATTAACGAATTCAACGAGCATACATACAGAATTTGTATATTTATTAATTTGCATTATATTCGATTTTTTTATATTAGTCTAAATTTTTGAGGAGCGGCACGATTTTGTTTTATTTTTTTAACCATTATATATTAAATTCAAAGTTATTCCAAAATAAAATTATATTATGTACAACCGTATGTTGTTTCATATTTTCTAATAAGGTATGTTTTCTGGAACTAATGTGGGGGTCGAGTAAAATAATTAAACTACTCAGAATTAAATTATTGTTAGTTCCGAGAGAAATAACCCAGTAAAATAGAAAAATGTTAGTTTTTAATTTTAAATTAAAATATTTAAAAATCGATTTATATATAGGGTGAAGGAAGGTATTTTCGTGGCATAAGCAATTTCGTAATAACTGTTATTTTATCAATCAGTGTGATTTTCAAGACAATTTTCTAATAGGGAATTACGCGATACGATCAAACAAACTATATCACGAAATTGCATATGCCACAAAAATACCTTCCTTCACCCTAACAGTTTTAGGGGAAATGTAGAATTTGGCAGGAAAAAATTCTGAACAACATTTCAAACACAGAGATGAAAACTAATAATTTAAATTAATGTACTACTTACTTTTTGTCATCACTCCAAATATATATTTTTACGTTTAGCATGATAATGGTAATTTTATATTAAACAATTTAACAATTTGTTGTGCATGCTATAAAATGTAATTAAACCACGGCGACAATGCAACTAAATAAAAATTAATTTTTAAATATCGTGCTAACGGCATAATGGTAGATATTTAAATAATAATAAAGTACACTCTGTGATGCGTTTGTTAATGTCAGTCGTCTCGTTTGTACATATTATAAAAATAATTAGATTATACGTCAGAAGAAATAGAGTTCAGTACTGTCGTCGTGCCGTTCGTTTAATTAAACTGACTAATTTGCAAAATCATAAAGTGGCTTCAGCATCTTTGTAAACGCTCTTATAATTGACCTTCCTGGATAGCACAATTGTTTTATTTAAAGTATTACATTTTTGCAACATAAGCGCTCCTACTGCAACCTCAGACTTTGTCGGAAACATAAAGAACAATAATTTGTAAGAGTATTTAGTGATGACATATTTTTTTTTTATAATCCGCTCGATAGTTAAAATGATATTGACCGACACAAAACATTATGCAGATTTTGAATTTTTTTTAATATTCTTAATAGACTTTTCAAAGAGAAGAATCATTAATAGTTTATATACTTTGAAGACATAACAAAAGCGTGTGTTAGGAATTTTTTAAAAATAATTTTTCCTGAAATGGCGTTTGAAAATACTTAATGATATATTATAATTAATTTTTATAGCCTTTATTCAAAACATTTGTAATGTTATATTATTTCAAAATAATATATTCATTAGATATTTGATAAACAAGACTAGTTCTCTATCACGAAAATTATTAATAAGTATTTGGGATTGGAACTGTGTTAGATTGGGCCGCTCTTTTTCGCTGACTTCAACTAATTTTTTTAAACTTAAAATTTTTTTTTTTCTCTAACACTTAAAAGTCCTAACTTATAAACTATATATGTATGCAAAACTGTCTCACTTATAGTCAGTCCGAACTTACACCTAAAACTCTTCTATAATTACTGAGGTTCGTAATCATATTTCTTAAAATTCTGAAAGCAGCATTACTCACGTTGCTTTCTCATCTTGTATTTTAGATAACTTCGAAGATGGATGTCAAGTTAATGCCATGTCACTAGCTTTAAAAATAGTTTTGACACAGTTGATCATTATTGATTGAGCTGGAAACTAAAGTTTCGCTAAATCTTTGAGCATTACTCAATTAGTTATTTAGCGCATACACGACAAACAGTATCTTAAAAAAATACTTGAAAGTGAAAACTGACTAGTCAATTAACAATATACATTACTCGAGTGACCGTTTTTACACGTCACAAGTAAAATAATATTATTTTGGTAAAATAGGAGGACGGCGATATCTAATCCAATTAGATGTGTATTAAACACTTACCTACTTATTACTACCCTCGTTGTGGCGAGGGAGGTTTAAAAAATAGGCAATAGTATTGTGTTTTGTGCTATTGATATTGTGGCATAATATTTATTTTGGCTGTAGGCATATTTTACGAGTCGTTAATAACATGTCCTTGCGGTGTAAAGGTAAAGGAGGGGGGGAATGGCTGGGCAAGTATTTACTGAAAGCATGCGATTGAAAATGAGCATAAAACTACACCATCTTCGAATGAAGAAAGCAGTCAGAAATATATATTTTTTTTTCGTGAATTCACCATGTATAATATGTTTGCTATATAGTATGTACTATATACATTTAGTCGACGCGCATGTGTGTGGATGTGGAACCTGTTCTTTTGTCTCGTAGAAAAAATCTCGAATTCGAGACAATACAAATGGCAAATGAAAAGGAAGAATATATGCGGTTATATATTATGTCCGATCAGTGGTTATCAGATACCTGTGTTCTACTTACAAATATCGACACATACCACGTCTTACCGCGAGTATTTCAATATTAACTTTGCAGGCGCAAGTGATTAGATCACGCTGTCTATGGAATTAGAACCAGATGAACTAGTAGAATTAATGAACTCAATGGCTCTTACCAGTTAATTTTTTAAAAACCATTAATTTAATTTTAACTTTCAGAGTGTTGTCTAACCGAACATTATTCTAGTAATCCCAATCACTGTGATTGAATCACATATGCGGTCATATTATGAACTTGATATATTTTTTTTATTCAGTGTGACATATTTTGTAAAGAGCTTGAAATGTATTTATTCAATAAACCGCGTTTTACGAGAATTATTGTGAAAACAATTCCGAAAATCGAAAAAGTAATTTTATTTTAAAATAAAGTGCCGAATTGAAAGACGTTTTGGTTAGACAAAACAGAACTTGGTTAATTTATTCGCTAAAAGCGAGGAAAGCAAATGTTAGGAACGCTTGTTTTAGTACAGAAACTGATTTTTAAATGAAATAATTTATAAATACATCCGTGATGCATAGCACCTGATAATATTTTAATTCATTATAATCAATCAGTGCGCTCACATTGAATAGGTTTTCTGCTCACCAACTCCAAAACTCATATTGGTTGCCAAAAAAATGTTCTGATAAATTCGTATGGTGTAATTAATTTGTAATTAATACTATAATAATAAAATAGTACACATAATAATAACATTGTTACCGTGTATAAATTATAATATACTCAATAATAATAATTATTACAGACGTCCTTGAATCACATACATGCTTCTTATTAAAATATTACACATCCGATGTTAGACTTTAATTTTATATGCACACGAACAGTATATAAATATATTATGTCTATCTATACACATACACACATACACACACTCACATAAGACATATAAATGTATAAAACATAACGTATAAAGGTTTTCGATTTTGTAGACCAATAAATCTTAAACAGGATATGTAATGGTTTTTTTTTCGTGCCGTTCAATGCCATTTTTTTGCGATTAAAGTAT